ACCTAGTCCAAACACGGGCATGTGCCAACATCCAGATCTATCGCGGGAGATCCAGCTGCGTCCCAGAACATGGATGGGGAAGATCTTCTTGTCGACGCAAGGTGAATGTCTCAACTTTCTATGAGTTTCTGGTCGAAAGTAGATGGAGACTGGGTTTCCACTGACTTCTGTGAGTGATTTTGCATGCTTCTCTGTGCATCTTCTTAATGCATTGGATGGACACAAGCTCCCAAAATACCAGGTGGTGTCATCAAGAATGATGTTTAACATCATGGGGATATCAAACCAGCACACACCTCTCTCTCTCCGGAAAAGCTCGTCTTTTGATCCCGTATTCTCAGGATTGCTGGGGCCCACAAAACTGGAAACCTGTCCATAAGATTCCCTAAAAAACGGTGGGTAAACCAATTTTGAAACTAAAAATCCATCAGTAAGTCCAGCTTCGTCTCCCAGTTGTTCTTGGTTAAACCATCATTTCCCAAACTTTTTTGGTCAAATTGTTCAGACATCCATCGATATTTTTTCGTATTTTCTCGCCCAGGAGGAAGACTTCGTAGCCAGGACCAGATTCGTCAACAGAAAACTTGAAGAAATGACCAAAAGTTTGCGCAGCTTTCGTTGAACTTCAGATTTCATAGCCAATGCATTGGCCCATACTTTTCAGATTTTCAGATGGGGTCGGCCACGACATCTCACCACCTAGGGCAAGTGCTGAGATATTCGACCTCAGTAAGAGGATCAAAACTTTGGTCTAGTCAGACCCTTCCCAGAACTGCAGCCCCAAGAAATAAGCCTTTTTTATGGATGTTCAGCAAGAAATGGGCATGGGTCAAACTTGGTTTCCCCCAAAGAAACCTGCCCGGACACGATCTAGGTAGCCTGGTATAACCTGGTCAAAAAGTCCTCGATTTTGACCCATACCCACACTTTCATCCTTCAAAGGAGCCACAGGAGGGACTTCGAAGCACGTTGTGGTGAAACTCGACATTGAAAGCTTTGCGACAAAGGTCTGTACAAACACTTGGCTGGACGGTTTATGCCCCAACCAAGCAAGGACAAGTTTCATAGTTTCAGCTTCCTCCAAGTGAAGCTTTGCTGTCCACTAGAGTTGTCTCTGGCACTCCTCCAAAGCGCCTGTTTTTCTAAAGGTCATGGCCAAAAAATTACCAAAAAATATCTATAATCTATCATCTATCCTTGTTTTAAAACAATGGTAAAGCTATTGCGAAGATCAACAACTCTGAGCCAGCTCCCCGCACCGCCGGGTGCAGGTGCAGCACAGCTTTTTACGGAATGACCTGAGACACAACGAAAAACTGGGTGAGTTGACCTCCAAAAAAAATCAGCTTCTCAGTTGTATCACCTGCAGTTTTGGGTTACCCTCTGGTAAACTAACATGACTATGGAAAATCACCATTTTCAATGGGAAAATCCACCATAAATGGTCATTTTCAATAGCTATGTTAAATTACCAGAGGGTACACTTTTTGGTTCAACATGAACCCCTTTAAGTATCACTAGGCGGACATGAAACATGACATCTTCAGCGCCGAGCCTTTGGTACCAAATCTTTCTGAATCGCCACCTCAAGGGATCAACGTCCAGCATTTTTTGAAAAACCCGCTGTGGGTCAAAAATGGTCAAAATCTAAGGGTCATGAAAAAACAATGCAACTACTAACGTAGACCCTGAGAATCACCCATCTTTCAAGAAAAGTAGTTGGCCAGGTCTATGTTAGTTTTGGGGGATTTGACAAAACCCTATAGTATTTCAACCATCTTGACCCCGCCAGTTCATTCTTGTTGCCGAGAAACCCTAAACACGTTGCCGTCCGCTTGCTGGAAATCTCTGTACCTCAAACACGGAGGCACGCACTGCAGTGGCGTGATGATGCCAAAGTGTCGGTGCTTCGCAGAAAACAGGCATCATTGAGTGCCTCTTAAATTCCCACTCAATGGATTGGTTTAAGGGAAAATTTACAGGAAAGCCCCATATTTAATGGGAAAATCTATGGTTTCCTGTAGATTTTCCCTTAAACCAATCCATTGACCCACGCTGCATTGCAAATTGCCCATTGATTGTCGGTGAAAGCCCCATTCTTGATTGGTCAAACATGGTCTGAGTCAATGGTCATTCTTGGCGTCAAGTCATGTCAACGAACTTTTTGTTTGGTCACAATTTCATCGAATCTCCTTCATGAGTCCCCATCCAAAATCTCAAAAATAAATATAAATAATCTCAAATCCAACAGTCTGAGTCTGTCAAATGGCAGTGTGTCAAAACCCTATACCCCTGGTGGACATCAAAATAGCTGGTAAATGGATGTTCATCCCACTACAAATGGTATTAATAGGTATTGACCCATACCCAAATCCCATGGAAAACCCCATGTTCTTCGTCAATTCCAGCAGTTCAAAACAACCTGCTCACCCAGGCGCAATCCGAAGTTGGCTCCGTCCACAACAATGCAGCTCTTTTCATCGCACCAGGCGGCGTCCGTATCTCGACTTCTCTAAGACCGGCGAGGCCTGCGGTCGCCAAGCGACGAGTGGGGAGACCATGGGATATAAAAGCCACCCCAGAAGATGGTAGTGGGAATATACCCTCTGGTAATTTAACATAGCTATTGAAAATGGCAATTTATAATTGATTTTCCCATTAAGAATGGTGATTTTCCATAGTTATGTTAGTTTACCAGAGGGTATGATATAAAATGATATAACATGATACAATAAACCTCTGATGATAAAGCCATGAAAAACCCATGATTCTCATTTTTTATGCAACCATAGCTTTTCTGGATTTCATGGGTTTAATGGGATGTCTATCAGATATAGTGATATAATGATATAATATTATATAATCCCTTCCACCAGAAAACAAAAAAATAAACACCAATAAATCGACCATGGTTTAGTAGGTGACTTATAAATATGTGGGACCATTTTAGGCGGTGTTTAATATTAGGGGGATGGGGTTAACCAAGCATGATACGGAGGTGTCTCTGAAAATGGGGAATACCCCAAAATGAGCCAATACATAGCCATTTCGATAGGGAAATCATGATGATATCACCATCAAATTGCGGGGTTTTCCCAAAAAATGTCAGACAAACCCCTTTGTGGAAGTTCTGTTTTTTTAAGAGATGCTTCTGATTTTTTTGCCAGCTGAAGAGGGTTTCTGCAGGCGATGACTCCCGGGGAACACTTCAGTCACTTCAGTTGCTTCTACGCCAAAAACGATGGTGTTGTTGTAATGGATATTCCAATCGATGGAGATTTCCAATCGATGGAGCTACCCCCAAATCATCCAGTCGTCATTGAAGCATTTTAGTATTGAAACCCATGGTTTGGGGGACCATCTGAATTGGAGGCTCCAGAAAAATCGCCACCCAATGCACAATTTACATTCAGAGACGAGGTTCCCACTATAACAAGTTACCAGTTTATAGATATTCAATAGGAAGTTACACATTTTTTTCCAGGATATGGAAGTCATAGGAAGTTACCAATTTACCCTCTGGTAAACTAACATAGCTATTGAAAATGGCCCATTATAGTGGATTTACCCAGCTATAAAATGGTGGATTTTTCCAGTTCGTTTTTTGTACACGTTTACCAGAGGGTATATATCTCAGATATGGGGATGGGTCAAAACGGTACCTAGTGAACCCCAAAATAGCTGGTATAGCTGGATGTTCATCCCACTAAAAATGGTACTTATAGGTATTGATCCATAGCCATATAGATATTCAATGATATTTACCGATGATTTCACTGCCAGGGCCGTTTAAAAAAATCCGTTACCCATTGCACAGCAACGCCCCGGTCACCCCCGGCCTCGATTAGGCGTGACTGAAGCTCTTGGACCTCGTTACATCGCAAGGAGGAGATTTGCTGCAGCACCTCAGGATTTTGGGGTTCCCCCAGGGTGTGATCAAAGGCATGGGAATGGGGATGAACTGGATGAACTGGCAGTGAAATCATGGGTAAATATCATTGAATATCTATATGGCTATTGATCAATACCTATTAATACCATTTTTAGTGGGATGAACATCCATAAATCCCAGCTATTTTGATGTGAACTACAGGGGTACAAGGTTTTGACACACTGCCATATAAATTTTGACTTTGCGATGGAAAATCTAATAATTTTCCAGAAGTAAATATCATCATGAATACTCTCTACATGGGCAATTTTCCATAGCTATGTTAAATTGCCGGAGGGGAACATGGATGAAAACATGTGAGAACCATCGAAACGCCTGACCGAAATATGCCAAGATACCACGCTTCCACAGCGGCTGCAGGCAATGTTTACCACCTGGAATCACAGCTCGAGGTACTCTCCGATTTAACGATATGGAAGATGGCCCATAGATGATTTTCCCAGCTATAAACCTGCATTTAGTTTCCTCCAGAAAGGGACGCTCTCAGTCCCCACGTTTCTCAGTCCCCACGTTTCTCAGTTCCCACGTTTCCACATGTCTGGACAGACGACGTGACAGATTACATATGAATCTTTGTTAGGAAAAATGCTACGTCTACGGAATTCATGCTTATGAATCTGTAGTGTCACTAACAAGCAGACTTGAGGAACACCTGACTCTGATTATATTTCTAATTCACAGGAAAGAAAGAGCCACACAGAAAACAAACGTTTTTTTTTTTTTTTGGCTGACCCCCCCCCTTTACCTCTCCCAAGACGGCCCTATAGAGCAAACCCAGATATATTTTTTCTTGTCGTGGAGCTTCTTACATTTGTGTTCTGTTCTTGTTCTTGTTTCTTCCTATTTTTCTTGTTTCTGTGGATATCTCATATGCTTACCTGATGCGTCCTGATAATTTGCTTTGAAGAGTGTTTGCAAACGCAACGGACAGGCGTATAAACTAACAAGGTAGACATACCATAGAAATCCCATAAGAACCCAGTGGAAATCATATAAGAATAACATATGAGACTGTAGCAGATAACATGGCCCAGAGAGCCACCTAGAGCCACCAAGATAGCCCAGCTAGGGGAGGGGAGGAATCATCTGAAAATATCATAGATATAACATAGAATTAGTATAGGTACCACAAAGAAATCCCATAAGAATATCATAGATTTCCCTCAGACATCTCATAGGAATTCCATAGAAATATCATAGACATACCATAGAAATCCCATAAGAACCCACTGGAAATCCCATAAGAATACCATACGAGGCTGTAGCAGGCAAGATGGCCCAGAGAGCCACCTAGAGCCACCAAGATAGCCCATCTAGGGAGACACTGTCCTGTCTCCTATTCTGTTTGATTGGTCTCTGCCCCATAGTAAGCAGACTGGGATCCCCTCCATTGCTTCGATATCCCATGGCCTTGACAAGAAAACAAAAGGAGAACAGGTATAAAGGGAACACGAAGAATAAGATGATAAAAAATCTGGATGGCTCTCTGGGCTATCTTACCTCAAGCAATGTCATCTGTCTCTAGGTGCCTCTCTGGGCTATTTTGTCTATTACAATGTTGTCTGTCTCCAGATAACTCTCTGGGCTATCATGTTTGCTGCACACTCGTCTGTACCTTGGAGGCTCTTTAAGCCATTGAGTCTTCAGCCTCATCCTTGTCCGTTACACGTGCATCTGTCTCTTGGCAACTCTCTAGGGTATCTTGTCTGCTAGAAAAGTCATTTGTCTCTAGTTGGCTCCCTGGGCCATCATGCATGCAATCATACTTGAATGTTCAACCAAATAAGGATCACGATCCATATTCTGGTGTGTAGACAAATTCCACGCAAAGGGACATTGCAACAAATGTAAATGTTCCCCGTCTGTGGTGCCAGCAATCGATAAGCGACTGAAAAGAGTCAACACATCGATTTCTGAACAGGTGTTTTCGTGGTTCCGTGGGTACAGCTCCACATTCAACTCCATGAACGCGAAACACCAAAGATTCTATGTGTTGGCTTACTCGCGTCGACACAATCATTTGCAAAAATTAGATGACATGCAGCACCTCAATCCTTGGTCTGCCCGTAAGTCCACTTTGAAGCGAGCCGGCGTGCTGCAGAAGCCAGCCAGCCGCAAATATAAGTGTAGGGTCAAGAAGCAAGCCGTGAAGAGACCCGCACAGAAATGATTTGATGATGTGGACTAGAAGATATTTCCAACATCTTCCCAAACCCAAACTCTTCCGCCATCATTTTGCAATTCCGTCATTCGTTGGTGCAATGCATCAAATCAAAGGTGCCAGAGCGGTTCCGCTTCAAAATCTCTCACAGCTGTCTCGCTCGTCGGACAAAAAAGAGAAGATGCACGCACTGAATCGTTACTGCTTGCTCATGAAATCTTCCACGTCTCAATGCCATAATCAGCAATAGATTGCAACACGCCATACAAGAAATTGTCCATGTGAATACACATACTAAGTTTAAATATGTATAACCTAGAACTGCTAAGACGCAACCCCTTGTAACATCCAAATAATGGATTTCCATAAATCAGAGAAGCAAAATGAAGCACCGGAAAAAAACATAGATTGACATTAACGTTTCGGAGTCTGGGTACGAAATTTCTTCTTTCCATTTGGTACTTTCTGAACCTTCATGCCTTGGTCCTCTTTTTCTTGGCCTTTGTTTCATCAGGTGGCATCTTTCTTTTCGTGATCTTCCTTTCAAGACTCCTGCAACCATATCATATTTGATTCTCTAAGGCACTGTCATATCTCCACTTCTATCGCACTGGCCTCCACTCTATCGACTAGCATTCTCTATATAGCTCTGCCATCCCATTGCAGTGACATACCATTGGCTTTGAGATCCCTTTCCTTTGACACTCCTTTGCTTTGGCATCCCCAATATGTAGCATAGATTTTGTTTCGTCATTATTTGAATTCAAATGCGATTTAGGGTATGTGCCGCAGTATATAATTTTAATAAAAATGTTCATATTATGTCTTAACTTGATGAACTTAGAATAAACTTTGTCATATCTAGAACCATACTTAATCAGTAAGAATTTATTTGAAGAAATAAAATAAATGCATTAAAAATAACAAAAAACAGCTAAAAATGACGTAAAAACTGGGGACCCACAACGTCCCGCACTCTTAGTTTCGGGGGGTTCTCAGCTAGCCATGTTTGATGGCCCCAGTATAAATCTCAAAACGACTTACGAATTTCAGCTGTTCGCAATGTTTGCCAGTCATTGCAGGCCTGAACTGAGTTGCTTCTGACTGCCTCTAGCACTGCGGCGGCCAATAGCTGCCTTAGCGACCGAAAACTGGATCAAGGGCAAGTCAGGATCTGGACGGCGACTGGAAGAGGTTTTGTTGCGATATCGCTGGCAACAACAAGGCTCCAATCAGAACTCTTTCAGGAACAAAACTCTTGGAACCCACCAGCCGCTCCTTGTTTCGTGCGCGAAACGTTCACTGTTCGACTGAGCTTAGGAGGTGAGGTCCAGACTGTCCAGTCTCATCGCCAAGTTCAAGCAATTTTCGAATGACTTGAGAAGCTGTTCGATGCATCCTCAGCACGTGCAAAGAATGATGAATCATCTCATAGAGCAAGTTTTGCATTGCCAACATGTTGGTTCACCAGGGGGTGCAGCCAAAAAGGACTTACTCAATGTGTCAACTTAACAAAAGGCCCTTTCAAACTTGTCTGAGCCTAGCCGGGGTTCCACCCGAAAAGGAGGTTCCCAATGATGTTCGGAAACAACATGTTTTTTTATTTAAATCACCATTTAATTATAGCCGTTCATAGAGCTATTCTGAGGTAAAATTGCGATTTAACTTAGTCCATCGTGCACGAAATGGACGTTGGACGTCAAAAACTGAGGTAAAATTGCGATTTCAAGTTGCTCCGCGCAACCCTTTCGCACGAAAGGAGGTTCGATCGTCAAAAAGTGTGTAAAAGCTTTTGTGTGTGAAAGCGTCTGTGTGTGTGAAAATGTTTGTGTGTAAAAGCGTCTGTGTGTAAAAGCGTCTGTGTGTAAAAGCGTCTGTGTGTAAAAGCGTCTGTGTGTAAAAGGGTCTGTGTGTAAAAGCGTCTGTGTGTAAAAGCATCTGTGTGTAAAAGTGTTAGTGTGTAAAAGCGTCTGTGTGTAAAAGTGTTTGTGTGTAAAGGCGTTTGTGTGTGAAAGCGTCTGTGTGTGTGTGCAAGCGTCTGTGTGTAACTCTGTGGGTGCAAGCGTCTGTGTGTAAAAGCTTTTGTGTGCAAAATTGTCTGTGTGTCAAAGTGTTGGTGCGTAAAAGCTTTTGTGTGCAAAAGTGTCTGTGTGTCAAAGTGTTTGTGTGTAAAAGCGTCTGTGTGTAAAAGCGTCTGTGTGTAAAAGCGTCTGTGTGTAAAAGCGTCTGTGTGTAAAAGCATCTGTGTGTAAAAGTGTTAGTGTGTAAAAGCGTCTGTGTGTAAAAGTGTCTGTGTGTAAAAGCGTCTGTGTGTCAAAGTGTTTGTGTGTAAAAGCGTCTGTGTGTAAAAGCGTCTGTGTGTAAAAGCGTCTGTGTGTAAACGCGACTGTGTGTAAAAGTGTCTGTGTGTAAAAGTGTCTGTGTGTCAAAGTGTTTGTGTGTAAAAGCGTCTGTGTGTAAAAGCGTCTATGTGTAAAAGCTTCTGTGTGTAAACGCGTCTGCGTGTAAAAGCTTCTGTGTGTAAAAGTGTTTGTGTGTAAAAGGGTCTCGGTGTAAAAGTGTCAGCGAGAAGGTTTAATGGGAGTATGAATGCAACCAAAGGATTCCAAACTGAAGTTTAAAATGTTTGTTTGCAAACACAACGTTTGTGTGTTTTCAGCTCAGAAAGTGGGGCTTTGCTAGGTCCGCTGCAAAACAATCTACTGTACTGTCTGCATCCCTACGGTTCAACGGAACGAGCAAACATACCAGCACCAACAAATCCTACCCTCATCCAAACACAGAAAGTCCCAGAAAAGTTAGGGACAAAAAATCCCCAGAACATACAACACAGAAAACATCAAAGGTAAGGAAGAAACATTGAACAATAACATAAAAACCATAACAGCCAACATATTAACATAAAGTGCCCCAGTATCCCCCTTTTACCATTTTTTCCCATTAATCCTCATGAATTCCCATTGCTGTTGACTATATTCAACTATGAGTTCCATTAAATCTTATTCATATCCCATTAAATCCCCATCAACATCCCTATCAAAACCCATTAAATATGTTAAATATCCCACATCAAATCCCATTACATATCCCATCGAAAATTCCATCAAATATCCCATGAAAAATCCCCATAGATATCCCATCAAAACTCCCATCTCCACACAACGAAAAACGAAAAACGAAACGAGCTACGCAAGTTGTGCGGCCTCGGGCGTCAACTGGCGGATCAGGAGTTCCCGGCAGCTGGTACCACTATACCTCAGCGTGGTTCATGCGGTGTCGTACTTCGGAAAGGGGCTGGATGACCGGATGACCAACCAATTTTTGGGGGAAATAGAATATGGGATAAATACCAACAGAAAACTGGGAAAAGACCTGGGAAACTTGGGAAGATTATGGGAATGATCAACACGAAATTGGGAGATATTCTTGATTAATCACTGTGAATCAATGTGAATAATGTTTTTTTCCTTTAAGACCCTTGCCATTTAAGTGGGCAGGACATGGCCATTTTCAGCCAGACCCAGATGATATGAGTGATTTTAACACGTGGGTGTTTGTCTCAAGCCAGCCATATTTGTCAGTTCATGGTCTCAATAATAAAGCAGTGCAAGCAGGATCATGTGTGTGAAACATGGGATCATCAGGAGGATCATCAGAATTTTTCATAATTGTTCGACCAGATCCAGTCGTCTTGGGATTTGGGGCTATCCAGTGGTGGTTTCCCCAGCACGGCCATCCGAAAAAGCTCCATGGAAATCCCAAAGAAGGCACGAATGAATTCATGACAGGGTCGAGTGAAACTCAGGTGAAACTCAGACCTAAATCTGCTGGTCAATCATCATGTTCCAATGTTCCCTGTGAAAATTGCCTTTCTCAGACAGAGACCCATAGCCATATATTTCATCATGTTTTGATTGGCAGCACACCTTTATTTTAAAGTACGGAGGGCTCATCATCGAAGTAGGCACGTCATCTCTTTCCCGACAACCCCTGGGGTCATAATGACTCTCATAGCACCAGTGTGAGTGTGGGAATATCAATATCAGGTCACTACATCCCCTGCACGTTGTACCATCAACCCCAAGGTCCAAACACGTCCCAGGTCCAAATCATCCATTTGCAGTGTGTTTACCTACACCCACATGTTGTTAGGTACAGGTGCAAAATCATACTTCCCCTATGCAAATGTGCAGAATCACCCTTAGCCCGACTCCCAAAGAAATTCGGCCGAGGTTATCAGTATGATCCAGCACATTTGTCAGCACCAAACGTCAGTGAAGAGGTTACAGCATACATGTCTGCGTCAAGGTCAGCATCAATAAAAAAAACACAGTTGGATGTCAGTTTTTTTTAATGATGCCAGTGGACATGCCAATCAATATGTCAGGCAAATTCAAGCAATATCAGGCAATCGGTCAGCACATACGCACGTACCCGTAAATCTGTGAGAGGCATTGATATTGGAGCAGTGTTCAAAACCGGCTTCCCTTCAATTACGCTGGTCAGTAAGGATTTCCATCATGGAGGAATAGCATCCCCAATATATTGTGTGATTGTGTGGTAAGCCCAACAATAAACCATACCCAAAATCTCGAGAAATATATGATGCTATCGCTACGTGAACCATCCAGTCTTGGTAGGTTTATGCCAAGCGGCTCGCTGAGTGTTTGCAGCACACGGCTACCCCAAGGGGACCGAGCCAATCGTCGAGAGGCCTGGAAAGAAATTGGCCCAAGCTGACCTGCAAATGATTGATTCAAAACAGGAAATGAGTGTTAGGATGTGTTAAGTGTTAACTATTGCAAATTTGGGGTGCATTGATCCAAATGGTTGATTCATTTGGGTCTGTCTGACTGTCTGAAAGTAGGAAATGCCTCACATTGGCAATTCCAACGGGGAAAATGATGATTGCCCATCCAATTTGGGAGTGCCCTATTTACCACACAAAGCCACATTCATGCATTTAAGCTGTGTTTTCTTTGATTCTACTAGCCGATTGGTTTGAGTTATGAACCACTTTGCACCCAAAAGCCACCTGCAACCCAGCAACAACAGCTGGAGTTGGAAGTTTCTTCAGTTGAAACTGGGTTTCCAGATGTTTCCAGTTTCCAGTGGATATCTTTGGCAATTTGTCACGCGTTCGTTCGCCAGCCACCCATCACTGCTGCTTGGTGCAAAAAGCCCCGGAAGTGACATGTCCATCAACCATGTCCTATTTGGGATGACCTGGCTGCTCAGCTCATCCATTTTTATTATCTGTGGGACGAGTCAAATTCACTGGCTGATGGTGATCTATCACTAAGTCATTGCAGAATGGCTGCTCAGCTCATTCAATTGTTTATTTTTGCTATTGTCTCTTTTCATTCACAAAAAATATCAGCCGGTTTTTGTCATTCCAATTTCATCATATGTCATCCCTCTCTTATCAGCCTCCAATGGTGTTTTTCAACCACCAAGTCATCCACCTCTAGAAGCTTCATGGAGAACTCGGGCAGCTGCATGGGGTGAAAGTGCAAGAGGATGGACCTTTTTTTGGCGACGGCAACGGGACAACCCTGGAGATATGGGCAAATCATGGGAAAAACATGGGAAAAACATGGGAAAATCATGGGAATATCACGGGAATATCATGGGGATATGGGTTTTTTGATCACTGACACAAGTAGCCTTAACCGAAGAAACATTAGACATATTTAGACACATGAAATAGCTTCAGAAAACCCATCCATAGGCCGTTGTCGCTGACGAAGCAAGGCTCTGATGGTGGTGAAATCTCCAGACTTGAAAGTCCCATGTCCAGTGCTGATTGCTGAAAAAACTCCAAAATATTCATCGCATTATGCTCACAGGTAAGATGCAAGAAATATTCAAAAACCAGTCAGTCATTGGTGATATCAATGATAGCTGCCATTTTGCTGGGTAAGTCCCCGTTTGTGGTGTAAGTACTATATTGGGGGAGATGAACAGCCATCATCATCCATAAAAACACAGCTATTTCAATGTTCAACATTATAGTCATCCATAATCATCCATAATCATCCATAAAAACACAACATCCATAATCATCCTGAGGGTTGGAACCCATTCTCATTTCGTCTTGGTAACTCAACCTCACACCAACCAGCTGAGAGAAGAACGGGGCACTTCCGGCCATCCGGCACCCCATTTTCCGCGCCAAATGGCTCGATCACATTGGAGCCGTATCTGTGCAGGGCCAAGTCCTCCTGAGGAAAACGGCAAAAAAATCGAGCTCGCTCGGGCTCAAACTCTAGCCAAAAACAGAAAAATGTAGGGATTAACATGAACTAACTATAATATAATTCAACCTTCAATGGGATGATAATCCAACATATTCAAACCAAAAAAAAAACAACGGATTCTGTCACGGAATATCAACCCTGATTGGATGTGGGATCCACAATTTCCAGACCATCCCCCAGGGACCATCAACACCCCACAAAAATCACTGAATATCAAAGCCTGATTCTAGTTAAGCCATGTTAAGAATTTTTAAAAAAAAAGTAGAACATTATAAAATATTATAAAACCTTGATTTATCACGATTTATCACCATCTTCCCCGGATTTGACTATTTGACTTGTCTTCCGATGGCCCCCATCCAAGGCAATCCAACGCACCGAAGCGCATGCCTTGCGGCCTAGGGCTGGCGATGCCAAGGGGCGCAGTGGCCGATGATCTCGCAGAGCATGAAATTCAGCGAGAACACCGGAATGCAGTCAATCAATAGAACCAGGATCTCATGGCCTCAACAATGAACCCCCGCTTTACGCGAGCCGCTGTCAATCCCGGGAACTGACATGGTTTTTTGGTCAATAATCCCAGTGGGGAACTGACATGGTTTAAGTATGTTTAAGTCAATCAATGTAAAATCCCCTGCAAGGGACCTGAGGAACTTGAAATTTCCGGTGCACGACGTGCTCCTTTGTCAAAAACTCCCTCCCAGAAGTGGGGACATGGGAAGTAAGTCTTTGGTAAACTTTGATAAATGGAAAATCCCAAAGAATCCCGAAGGAACTGACCAGAAAAGGGGTTGGATAAATATGATCCCAATCAACTACTAACCTGAAAGATAGATCCATAATGTCCATATGATCCCAAGCTTAGATCCATATCTAACCCAAGATAAATCCACTTGAAGCTTGGGTCAGTTCAAGTGGCATCCCAAAAATCCATACCCAATAAACCAACATTTGGGATGGTCTATGACTGGGCTCAGCTCATATAGGCAGGCACCGTTGGACCGAGGGTTTTGTATGGCTATGGCATGGTTTATCTTGGATATTACCCGATAAAACAAAGAGTTGACATATTTAGGCTGAACAGGTTGAATATACAGTAAAAGATTTCTCCATGGCTAGAACTTGGCCGGTGACCCACCACATGTTTCCCCAGGCGGACGACATTCAATGATGGCAAGCACTTTGATTGGGTGTCTCAAGCAGGGACCCCTTAAGACTAAACAAGGCCCTGAATCCCAGCAATAATCGCGTTTAAACCCTGGCAAACTGTTCATGCACTTGGGATGATCCACATAGCCAAGTGATTGATTGTCTTATCACCGCCAAAAAGAAAAAGTTCGGATATCTTGTGCACATGGGCCCCAGCCAGTTTGCCAACCAATCCAACCATGGATCAAGGATCCCTTGATCCACTAGGTGGTTAACAGTGCTTTCAAAATATGCCAAGAATGGATCAATCCCCATCTCTTGGTAAATCAACTTCCATGGCCGAAGCCCCACGGCTGACAGGTACCCGGCCTGGTTATGTCAACAGTTTGCTATGGAAAATGACCATAGAAATAGTGGATTTACCCATTGAAAATTGGGATTTTCCATAGTTATGTAAACGTTTACCAGAGGGTATTATCCATTGTAACACTCCAAGATATCCCCATGATAGCACCATTTTTGGTGAAGCCGCGCCTGATTCTGACTTGCAAAGCTCCCTCACGGAGCCTTTGAACGCAGAGAGGACTATGGCTCTGTCCTAAACGCGAAGCCGCACTGATTCTGCGGGGAGATACTGGATGAGTGTTGTCATCGGTCATGCGTCCATAGAATTGGGGCTACCCGGCCTGGTAAACATACAAAAAGCTATTGAAAATGGCCATTTATAGTGGATTTTCCCATTAAGAATGGTGATTTCCCATAGTTTTTTGTATGTTTACCAGGCCGGGTAAATCCATCTTTGAACAAACCCCACCTGCGTAAAAAAACAAATACGGTCGACCCGAGCCAATTCTAGAATCAACAGTGTGGCATGTCTGGTAATTGAACCCTATTGTGGAAATATATGGAAATATCATGAACTTGCAGCATCAATTTACAAAAACTGGAAATGCCACATTGTGGAAATCTAGAGGGTGCCAATGAATTGGGATGCACGGCACCCCAAATGTGGAATTATAATGGGTTACATGGTGCCGGGTGCCCTCTTGATTGTGGATCATTCAACATGGAAAACATCCCGACATGTCGCCGAACATGGGGGCACTTTCCAATTGCTCTCATTGGCGGTCAATGTCACCTTTCTTGTTGCCTGATATCTGCATGTCTATTTAGTCTATTTGATTCACATCTTCATCTCTCTGTTGCCAATTCTCAAAATTGGCGTTTTCACCAGGACGTACTTTTTTTCAAGATCTTCTGGAGATGCTTTCCCTCGTTTTTTGTGTACCCAGAAATGATACGTTGACAAAAACACTTCGATAGGAAACATGAGGGGGCAACAACTGCAACAACTGGATACAACTGTCCTATTGCTCTGAGCTATTGCTCTGAGAAAACTATAGCCCATGGCATCTTAGCTCAGCTACTAATCCCCCCTACCAGTGACTTCCTCATGTTTTTTGGACACCTAACACATCCTAACACCAAAAAAAAATGGCTATCTTCGGAGTAACTCTCCCGTAAAATCAGCTATTCTTGGCTCTTCCCAGCGTGGTTTTTCAGGGGACTCCCAACCCTCCCAGCCCATCATCCCCCGCTGTGACCCGAGAGCTCCGAGAGTCGCGGCTGGTAGCGACATCGATGGCACACCGGGCAATCTGCGCGCCGGAATCGCCTCAGTTGTGGGATGCTTCGTGTTCGACTTACTGGTGCTAAACCTAGGGAATGGATGGGTTGGAATGGATGGGTTGCTGGGATTATCAAATTGATAGTTATTATAGATCATTATAGATCATTATAGATCATTCCCTACGTTTAGCACCAGTAAGTCGTGTTCAAAATGAATCAAAGTGATCACCTGTTTTTCGGAGACCAAACTGCAAGCCATAGCCATTTGGGGTTATAGTGTCCGTGAAGAACATGTTGGCGCCAAACCCCACGTTCGCCCACACCCAAATAACACCCCCAAACAATATCATATACTTGTCACCAAAGGATGAATGAAAACGCTGGCTATACGCAACGATTTTGACTTTAGGTTTTTAGGATTTAGGGTTTTAATTTAGGGTTTAGGCTTTCAGGTTTTTAGGGTTTTAGGGATTTTTTAGGGTTTGGATGGTTTCGGAAAGTAAAAAACGCTAGCCTTACGCAGGGATTTGAGCATGTCAAAGGATATGCCGGATCCGATGCTGGCAAACGTGGGGTTACAGCGAACATGTTCAATGATACTGTATCTCTATTCATATCTGATGTCAAAAAGCCCCCAGATGTCCTGAAAGCCATGGTTTGACTCTGGCAATCAAAGGATCACCTTGGCAGGATCACATACCACAATGACCCTCACAAAGCCACCGTTCATCGTTTTTTCCAGGTGACTTTGTGCCAGTTGGGAAAGTTTGGGTGCCAGAAACTGCAAGGCTTGCGTGCGCTCCATCTGCTTTGCGCCCTGGTCCAAAAGGATCTACTGAGATTGGAACTTCTTCAGCTTTTCCCAGGCGACCAAAATGGATATGTTGGAATGAAAAGTTGGAGTTTAGAACCTATTTTGTTGTGGAAACATGTGGAAACATGTGGAAACATGTGGAAACCTCTTAGATTTTGAAACACAATCAAAATCCCTTTCAAAAGAGGGCTGGCCTTGCAACATGTCCCAAAAAAACATCAACCACTTCCGAAGAGAGTCCTCCAATTTCCTGTGACTCTTGAATCTCACATGTAAATCAATTCATGTAATGTTAGGAATGGAAGTTCAGGAAACTCTCAAGCTTGGAATCAGTTTTCTGGTTTCCCATTCCACTACGGCCTGTAGAAACGTCACAATGTCCTTCGCCAGCGCTTGGGATGGTTCTCCTGGACAGAAAGATACATGGCTTTGTCTGAAAATGTTGGGTTAATCTTCCCAATGAAATAGCCATTTAAAAACGGGATAATGATCAGCAAAACCATTGGGTAAAAAGGGTAAAGTTTAGGGGTACACAACATTTTCAGACACACCCACATAGATAAGATAGATACACCCTGGGTAGTGGTAAACTATGATCAGGAAAATCTGATTTGGTTTATCACAGTAGAAAAAAAAACCGGCAACGAAATGATCATATCATCAGTGCACCCACCCAAATCTGGGACGAAACGAAGCCCTTCCAGTGATTGGATCGTGCGCAGAATTGCACAGATTGGATCGTTTCCTCTGGGTAGATCATAGTAGATCCACATTGTTTCATGGATCATATGTGAATCGTATGACAGGTTTGCATATGTTTGTCAGGTCGTATCCCATCCTATACCCTTTGGTCACAGCCCCGATTTTGAGGATCACTGCCTGAGAGATCTCCAAAGGTCTGACTCAGCTTTTCTTGCACCTGAAAGCGTGGCCAAATATGTATCTGGCCAAAAGGAACCAGACCTTCCTGTCATCCCAAGATGTAGTGTATCTATAATATTCTATGAATATATTATATGTGTATGTATATTCTATGAATACATATATATATATATATGTGTGTGTGAGATATCCTGGACCAAGATATAGTGTACTCTCCTGGCCATATCCTGTGTATCTATCTGTGAGAATATCCTGGAATATCTTGGGGGTATGACATGTTCCTCGATTGTAGTGAAACCTCAAGGAACCAAACCGTTATCATGGGCAGCTCTGCAACATGGCCATGCGACCAGCACTTCATCGAACAGTCTGACTTATCTGACTGAATCCATTAGTACCCTCTGGTAAACGTTTACATAACTATAGAAAATCACCATTTTTAATGGGAAAACTCACTATAAATGGCCATTTTTTTAATAGCTATGTTAGTTTACCAGAGGCTAATCCTATGTAAACTTCATCCAACACAGTTGCTTCGCCCCGGGTTTCCACCATCTGCTAAAAGCAGCACCCGATGCTGGTTTTGGCATCCCCAGTTCGTCTAATTGTTGCTGAGTGGGAAAAAAAAGGCCCAGCTTTGAGGTGAATTATGGTGAATTCCACCTTGCAGGCTTCCAGCTCCAAATCTTCGCATTCATCTTCACGAATCGTGGGCAGCTTCTCCTATCAACGGCGCAAGATCAATCGTGATCAAGCCTGATCAATGGTAGCTTTGGAGAGTTCCTGATCAATGATCAATGGCCCATTTAGTGGACAGCTGTGTTTTCCTTTCAAACTCGTGTCCACGAGAAACCATCAAAACATCATCCAACAGTGCTTCACCGATGATCTTTTTTCGCACAGGTCTTCGAAAAGCCCAAACATGTATGTTCTTGTAATGTTGGATTGTTGATCAATTTTACATATGGTCTATGGTTTATTAATACCCCCTATAAAGTGCTAATAGATTTAGGGATAGACCTGGGGTACAAGTTTTTTACCGTTGATTTTTTAAGATTTTTTTACTGCTAATAGACCACTATCATCGCACCTTCCGTCGTGTGGATTTGGAGAGCTCGGGACGCCTCGATGAATACCCGGACGGGGAACGGGAGCGGTCCGGTGCACTCCACGGACAACTTGTATCAACTTGTCACATGGGTCACAATCATTGAAGTCCAACATGGAACTTGTCCGGAGAACAAATTGAAAAAAAAAGAAAACGCAAAATTACTTTGGTTTTTCAAAAGTCTCGTGGGACCTAATTCAGTCCATCCCAGCTTGAGATGAGCATCGTGGTCACTAGAAGCGTCGCCATCTTTGCACAGGATGCACCCCACTAGAGCCAAAGCGACAATCACCAGGTCAAGGAGAGATCCACTGGCCCCAACCTATGTATTTGGGCAGTTGGGGGCTACAATGCCTTTTGAGAATCTTATGACTTTGGGTCAGTGACTCTTGGTCACATTGAGAGCAGCTGCAATATTGAACTGCAGGATACCGCAGGAGTCTTGGTCACTTTGAAAGACTTTTTCATGACGTTTCATCCCCAGATTTCCAAGGAGTCCTCCGATCTCATTGCGAGTTGCTGTTTCTGGTGGTCAAATATGGTAGTTGACCACACTCCCGAAGGTGATAAAGGAAATTAGGATGTGTCTGAAAATGAAGCGTGCCCCCATTTCATGATTGTTCATGGGTATTCCAACTCTCTAACAAAAAAAACATTATATTGTTGGCAGTTCTATCCAATCAATATCCGTTTATATCAATGCCACTTGAAATATCACCAAATGAACTAATGTATACTAATATAAACTAATGTTGTAACCCACAGGGTATCATCATATTTTTCGGTGCTAGACCCATATCAGGAACCCTGGATTTTCGCAGAGAGTCACAGCTCCTGGCAGGGCTCCCATCGTTCCTGCCGTTGAGAAGTTTGCGCAATGAAATGTTCAACATAGGTCAACCACACCCAAGGAAAAATCGAAAAGTATTCAGGAGAAAATTTAAAAAAATGAAAAAAATGACAATGCATGCTTTTGAGTGTCAAATTGATGAAAGAACAATCAAACTCATGGCCTGAGAGGTGAAATGATTTTGGACCTCCCAAGTCGCTGACATCTCTGGTCCCCCCATGGTAAGGATTTGTCCCTTGCCCTTCCAGTGGCAGTCCGACAAGTGGATGTCTGTTCGTGTCTCTGAGCCTTTAAGCATCACCTGACCTATCAATCACCCATAAAAGGTTTCACACTGAAGGCTCTCTGCAAAAAATCGGCGCTGTACCGCACCAATAAATGCCTCTCTGTTTTGTGCTTAGCTACCCAAGAATGGCCGACACACTTTGCTGCTAAACAGTGTCCAATATTGATATCTTCCAAAATCCCTGGTCTCATGAGGTCTTTCATTGATAGTTCAACTCTAATTGTCCCCAGTTTTTGTTGCTTCAGATGAATCCATGGGGCATCCATGGGTATTCAGCCAACCCCCTAAAGGTATCCAAAGGTGACCCCCCAAGAATAGATGGTGAAAAAATGTGACAAAGCCCCTATTGCAGCAGTAGTTGTTGGTGCTTTATGACCTTGGAGCCCCCGATTTTCCAGCTTCCCTGCACCATCCTGCACCGAATGTGTCGTCCCCGGCGGCAATGCAACTCTGACCCACCGGGAAGAGCCAAAAATGTCTTGCGCTGTGCAATGTTGGAAGGTCACCCCGGCTGGATCCAGGTTGCTGGAACAAATGGTGATAAGACAAAAAGTTAACTGCCAATTCACTCATGTTCACTGCCCTTCTTTCCTAGTCAAGTGAAAATGACATCTCTCTAGTTCTGTGTCTGGCGGAACCAGCCAAGTACAGTAACATTGTTTCATGAAAAAACAACGGCAAAGGCCAGGCCGGGCGCATCGGAAACCAGCGGTTGAGGTATCCCACTGAAGGACATGCTGAAGCCGTCGGCTTTAGCCCGCCTCATGCTTCAGGAAATTCCGGTAGTTCAGCTCGGGATACCGTTCCATCCTGTGAAGGGGAGGATGGATCTGCAAATATGCCGTCTGTTTATAAAATGTCTTCTCTGGTTCAAACAACTTCAGCTGAAAAGGAGCAGCAGATTTCCCCAATTGTTTTTTCTGCAACCAACACTTTGAAGGGAACAGCAAAGCTTTAACCCATTTGCACCCTGTGAATGAAGGCAGTTCACGTGCGACTGACTCTGGAGCCACATCCCGTTTCTGGTGTGTTGGCAGTGAGTGCAATGTCAACCAAGGACTAACTGACTAACTAAACTCTGGTTTGTAAACATGGAGGGTACCAGGTTCATCCACGTTCAACAGTAATTGGTCACTTTCGGTACCCAAAAACATCGAGTTTCAACCCGAGTTCGGTCTCCAGGGCTCCCAGCATCACTTGTAGCATGGCCCGGCTTCGCCGGTCCTTATCCTAGGTGGTTTCCCAACCATGGTCATTTCAAGAGCATTAACCCACCAGCATTACCCTCTGGTAATTTCTTACATAGCGAACTGGAAAGATCCACCATTTTCTAGCTGGGTAAATCCACTATTTCGACTGGGCCATTTTCAATAGCAAACTGTTAGTTTACCAGAGGGTAACAGCACCAGTCAGAGATCTGTCTGGGTATGGATCAATACCTATGAAAATACCAGCTATTAGGGGGATGAACATCCATAAATCCCAGCTATTTTGATGTGAACAGAAGGGGTACAAGGTTTTGACACACTGCCATATAGAGCTGTCGTCGGCGGTCGTCTTTTCAAGGCCACCCCTGGGATCCCCCGGGCCTCACGGACTCGATCAAAGAGCCGATCGGCCATCCACTGCAAGGGATCCATCAAGGGCATCACCTCCCCGCGAAACGCGGCCCGCGAGTTGCTGACGGTGGATGGAAAGCATGGGGAAAACGAATGGAAAAAAATGGTGCAAATGAGGATGGAAGCAGTGAGATTTTGGGGATTTTGTAGAAAAAGCTTGGTTGAAGATGTTGAAGCTACCAAGAAAATTCGAGGTTTCCTGGTCAATTTTTTTGATCGTATGCTGATCCTCCAATATTTGAGGGTTTGATTGGACGGGGTTGTGATTCAGGCGGCTGAAAAGAACAGGCCCTACCCGTGACCATCAGGGTGCCCCAGTTTGGTTGATCCTCAAAAAACTGATCTTCCCAAACAAAACAAATGGTTTTGAGTGAGGCCGCCAGCTTCAGAGAAAAACACCAATCAAGGTCCCATGATTGACCTCTCGTGTTCCTACTGTAAGGTGGCTACATGGGTTTATCAAACACGTTTGGTTCTTCTACTGAAATATAAGGACCATCAAGTGGCCAGAGATGGAACCTCGCACACTTAAAGACAGCGTTGTATCATCTCATATCATCTTATATTGCCAAGAATCCATTCTGAATTCTTAACCATTTATCGCAACAAATATCCTAATATAGATTCCATTAGATAATACTATATAATTCCATTATCAACCATATCCATATAGATTTAACATGTGATAATCATATATGATAATATAATTACTATCCCGTTTGATCATTTTCAGTACACCATCTTCCGATCTTCCGATCCATGGCGCCTGGTAGTCTCGTGGCTTGGTGCGGAAGGGCAGCAAAGCCCTGATTCCGTCATGATTCGACCATGATGGGAGTCATGTTTGGTCCCAGTCACATAATAAACAAGCCTACACTGGTTGGTGGTTTCAACCAACCCCCCTGAAAAATATGAGTTCGTCAGTTGGGATTATTGTTTCCAGTATATGGAAAAATAATCCAAATGTTCCAAACCACCAACCCTACATCAATGGGACCACAAAATGAGGACATCTGATACCTCAACCAGGGTTTGTGAGGAGGGTTAATAGCTTGCAGTGGGCGAGACAATGTCGTGATATTTCTCCATTGTGTAGACCCGCATTAGATCAGTTAGATCTGGCAGATGTGTGCTTTGCCAAAATAAGCAGTTGAGCCTGACTGGGTACCCTCCTGTAAACATACAAAAAGGTGTGGAAACCCCACCATTTGTAAATGATTTTCACACCGAAACAGCCAGGGTTCTCCACGTCTTTCTGTATGTTTACGCCAGGGTAATGGTATGCAAATCACACTCCAAACAGCTTCCTAGAACCTGCTCGCAGGCCAGAACATCAATGGATTGTGCAGTTCACGTCTGCCTCCACCACCAACTAGACATGATGATTGGTTGTTCCACCCTGGTATTGAAGATGTTCGACCAACTCAAGCATTTAGTGTCAGTTTCTCAGGCTTCGCAGTGGTATCCATCATTTTGAGATATTTTGAGATCACTTCGTTCTATCCATTAGTTCAGGAAGTACTATTCAGGAGACTGCCAAGACAAGAGTTTGTTGGCGTTGTCGGATCTCAATGATTTCCGCACCCCAAAGATGTATATTCGGATGCTCACTTACCCATGGTGGACCTGTGGTTGCCAACCAGCTTCTGCCAGGCCGGTCATAAAATCTAAAAATTAGGCACTTGAATCCACATTTGCGTGGGAAAAAATGTCCATGTTTGCTGTTGAGTGCTTAATATATATATATCATATATATCACATATATCATATATATCATATATATCATATATATCATATATATCATATATATATCATATATATATATCATATATATCATATATATCATATATATCATATATATCATATATATCATATATATATCATATATATATATATATCATATATATCATATATATCATATATTTCATATATATCATATATATATATCATATATATCATATATATCATATATATCATATATATATATATCATATATATCATATATTGTATGTCCATGTTGATATATATATCATATATGTCCTTCGTACATAATATTTACATAATATTTACATAATACATAGTATATATATATACCAATAGGTCCCGCATCCCACCATGCCGTCGGACATGTGTTGAGCCGTGATCACCGCTTTGACCAACTCCTGCGAGGTGCAAGCTGGAAGCACCAGGGAAAAACCTTGGGGATAACATCTTCTCATTAGGAGCGATTCAAGAGGATACCCTCTGGTAAACTAACATAGCTATGGAAAATCACCATTTTTTAATGGGAAAATCCACTATAAATGGTCATTTTCAATAGCTATGTTAAATTACCAGAGGGTACTTCGTTTTATTGGAAAGCAACAATGTTTTTCTTAATGGGAACATTTTGCAGAAATGACACCATGTTTTTTCCTTATGGTATTTCTGCCTTTAATCATACCAAGAGTTGGAAACTCATCGCTGTTGGCTACACACCCTGGTTTAGTGGCCCCATCAGACTGGGTGTTTCTGGTTGGTGGTTTCAACCCATATATAATAATCTCTGTTATAAATATCTACATGTATATGATGTAATATCATATAATATTATATATATATGATTATATGATTATATATATATATACATACAATCACAGTGTTCATACACTTTGTAATTAGTGTATGTATGGTATCTATTTATATATGCCGTTTGAACATGTTTGAACCTGCCAGCTTTGTAATTGCTGGGGGATCGTCACTGATCCCTGGCTCAGCTGGCCTGTCCTGCTGCTTTCGCCGCGAAAGCATGGTGGTCCGTCGGGGCAAGATATACCTGGGCCCCGATTCCCCGATGGCTCAGGACGCAGACCCCTTGGGGGATGGTTCATAATTCCCATGACGGATCCATGGTGCCGGTATATTAATGCTAACATTGGGGGTATATTGATGGGATCCATGTTACCATATATAGCAGCACCATGGATCCGTCATGGGATTTCTTGGCCCGCTCCAATTTTTGCACCGTTCGGGATGGTCAAGTTTTTGCTTCCTGACTTGGAATCAAAACTCTATTCAACATACTGTACGTACCAAACCATACCAAGCCCTTGTATGAGCGGGGTGACCATGCCCAAGATATACGGGAAACGACAATGTCACGCCTAAGTCATACCTAGCGTGTTTTTGAATGGCATTTACCATTGTAAACGCTGTATCCAAGGAGTCATGCCTAAGTCATGCCTAAATGCTTTTCTGCATGGAACGCTGTCCTCAATAAAAGTGTCACCATGCATTTCAGACATTAAAAAAACATGAAACACAATGGAACGCGACTGATGAAAATATTATCCCTATGAACATACACGGGAGGGGGTCCTGCAAGCCATTTTATAGACATAAAATGGTTTTCACTATAAAATGACTAGACACTGCTTATAAAATGAGTGGCCCCAACCCAAATGAAAACACTATATTTTGAGGGGGCCTGACCCCAGAACACCTGGAAATTACTTATAAAATCTCTATAAAATGACTGGTTCCCTTTACAAATGGTCAAGGCGCAAGTCAACAGATTTCAGCACCTCACTTAGAATCAAACCATTTTGCCATTCCTTCATTTTGATTTTGCCATTCCTTCATTTTGTTTCCAATGCCGCCCAGTGCCAACCCTGGCCTTTCAATGGGCAATTTTGGAATAGTGTGAGCTACTTGTCCTTAAACCTTCAACCCACCATGAAATAGTTGATTGGGCCAGCATCTGCCATTCTTTTGTATTCCTGGATTTGCTTCCAATGCCTCCAAATGCAAGCCCTGGCCTCTCAATGGGCTATTTTGGAACAGCGTGGGCTACTTGTATGATTTCCAAGTGCTGCCACTATAAATGGCTGGCCTCAACCTTTCAACCCACCATGAAGTTGTTGATTGAGCCAGCATCTGCCATCCTTTTGCATTCCTTGATGCCAGCCCTGGCGTTTCAATGTGCCATTTTGGAATAGTGTGTGGCTACTTGTATGATTTCCAAGTGCTGCCACTATAAAATGGCTGGCCTGAACCTTTCAACCCACCATAACATTGGCGATTGAGCCAGCAGCTGCCATCCTTTTGTATTCCTGGATTTTGCTTCCAATGCCTCCAAATGCAAGCCCTAGCCTGTCAATGGGCTATTTTGGAACAGCGTGGGCTACTTGTATGATTTCCAAGTGCTGCCACTATAAAATGGCTGGCCTCAACCTTTCAACCCACCATGAAATTGGTGATTGAGCCAGTCCTAAATCTAGCCACTATCAAATGGCTAGCTTCAACCCACCACCCCGATTTGAAATGGGTGATGGGGTTGAATACCCAGCTTTCCAGGCAATTTCAACCCAAAAGGGTGGCAGGTGCTGGCTCAATCACCGATTTCATGGTGGGTTGAAAGGTTGAGGCCAGCCATTTTATAGTGGCAGCACTTGGAAATCATACAAGTAGCCCACGCTGTTCCAAAATAGCCCATTGACAGGCCAGGGCTTGCATTTGGAGGCATTGGAAGCAAAATCCAGGAATGCAAAAGGATGGCAGATGCTGGCTCAATCACCAACTTCATGGTGGGTTGAAAGGTTGAGGTCAGCCATTTTATAGTGGCAGCACTTGGAAATCATACAAGTAGCCATACACTATTCCAAAATGGCCCATTGAAAGGCCAGGGCTGGCATCAAGGAATGCAAAAGGATGGCAGATGCTGGCTCAATCACCAATTTCATGGTGGGTTGAAAGGTTCAGGCCAGCCATTTTATAGTGGCAGCACTTGGAAATCATACAAGTAGCCACGCACTATTCCAAAATGGCCCATTGAAACGCCAGGGCTGGCATCAAGGAATGCAAAAGGATGGCAGATGCTGGCTCAATCAACAACTTCATGGTGGGTTGAAAGGTTGAAGCCAGCCTTTTGTGTGGTGGCAGTTGGGCGGCATTGGAACCAAAATGAAGGAATGCAAAGAAATGGTTTGCCCATCTTCCCTGAGCATGTCTTCACATGGCACAGGGCCGGGCTCCCTTTCAGAGGTTGTGCCCCCACCCGAGGCATCTTTGATCAAATGATCAATGGCTATGGATAAGAACAACCTGGATCATGGCTGCACTGCAAAAACCTGAACAAATCTCGACAGATTTCACCTACAACCTTAAAATCACTATAAAGTGGGGTGAGTGACCCCCTGAAGGAGTGCCGCTGGAGGTGCATAAAACAAAATATAGCAAACCTTGACCCCTGTCATTTTATAGAGGATATGTTCATGGGTATAAAATATTGATGTTCTACTCTCTTATAATGTCATTCTCGTGTGCAACCTGCATGTCAACGCTGGGATTCTGCATCGTTATTTTTCTATTCCCTGGGTCACTTCGGCAAATTGTCAGGCAATTTCACAAATCGGGTTTTCCGATTGATCGCCCATGCTTCGTACCACTTGCGCCTGGCTTCCTTGGTTTTCAAGATCCCAGACTTGATCACGTCGCACTGCATCAAATGCGAAAGGATGCTTTGCCACGCAGCTCTTTCAGAAAAAAACTTGCCACCTCTTCAAGGTGGTCAGGACGATTGGGACCCCAGTGGGCAACTATGAATTCAATGCAATCATCTGTGGATTCAAGATCGAATTCCTTTTTTGGCTCCGTTGGTGGGGCCTGAGCATGTGCCGAGGAAGTGCTTGGGGTTTCCATCATAGTCAAGGTTTGGGCCCAGCAAAATGGCTAGATCGAGAATCACCCGTTGAATTGACAGCTTCTGGTGGGGGGAACCTTCAACATCCTTTATTATTAAGCAGACAAGAAGCTTATAGAAGCTTGAAATTCAAAAACAGGATCATCTGGGACGAACATCCAAAAACATCAAATCACCAGCTCAACGCCATCTTACCTATAACTAATCAACATACCCACAGCCTGGAATTCTGCATGCTAATAGTGATAAGCTACGTGATCTCATAAGAAAACGGGTTACATATCCAAACTCCAGAGTTCCTATGCATTCTTGCTAAAGGCACGACTTTTGCGAAACACACTTCCCCAAGGCACGATTTTTTCCTAAAACAGGTACGACTTTGTCAGATGCCTGTAAAAACCAGACTGCCTCTACGGACTTTGTCGCAACACCGCCCAAAAGGTCGCTTCGCTATTTGGACCAAAGATTCTCAGGACATCTTTTTAAGGACTCATGTTCACGTATGAAGTTTTGATCGTTATCCATGACTGCAGTTAACGACTCACGCAACGCACGTGATGCACGTCTGAAGACGTTGCGGAGCCTGGCTGATCTAGTTGCTCCCGGGTGAGCCCAGTCGTAGTCAACGCAATCCTTCCACAAATCCAACAAGATTTCGGAGTCGATCACATCGGCCTGAGGCACGACCTGGAAACCAGATTGGCGTGTCCTCAAAAGAATCATCCGCTGGAAGCGAGAACCATGCCATTCAGGCACTGGATATGCCGACCAGTCAGCGGTTTCTTGCAGCTCACAGAATGAAAGAAAATGCTGCACCATGGTGTAGAACAGTGTGGAGCTTGTATGCGCAGTGTGCTCACAAATTCGCCGAGCAAAATGATTGAGGAAATAACCTGGGATCAGAGAGCGCTTCCCATCCAAAGTGAAGGCCTTCATCATCAAAACAGCAGCTGCAGATTTTGGGCAGCTGCGGACATGCTCTGTCGCCCTGAGTCGCGCCTTCTTCCTTGAGGGGCTTCGAGTGAAGCTTGGGAAGTCATGTTCATCAAGACCAATGTCATGATCCATATTCACGCAAACAACATCCACGTTGATTGGATCATCATCTTCGGATTCTTGGATTTGAAATTTCATGGCCTTGCGGCCGATTCCATCATGCCTAGGCTTGATACAACACCCATATCCACCTTCGTTCAAGAGCTTATCGAACAACTGGCGGCGATCTTCCCTGGCGAGTGCCACTTTCGTGTCTATCCATACGTCAAAATCAGAGATCCCATGGAGCGCGGTGCCGTCTCTGTTTGAACCTTCTAGCTTTATCTGTGCATCTGGATAAAGGGTCGTAACAACTCTACGCAAGAGCCTGGCGAACAAGCTCCACGTAGATTCACCATAAGAAGGCCTCTGACGCAAATGAGAAGCAATCCTCTCAAGTTTCTTTGGATCTGACAAGACTATCTGCGGCCATCTTTTTGGCAAATCTTTGCTGAACGAATCTTTGCCAGCCATCCCAAACGCAGGGCAGAGTATCGGCGACCGCATACACAGCACCAAAAGGCAAAGAAGGAACAAACCATGGGACATGCCACGCTTTCCCATCCCTCGCATATGTTTCGCCGCCATGTGAAAGATATTGAAAGATGCCAAAGCTCCTGAGCCATTGATTCGTCGTCGATTTTCCTGTCGTTAGCTTCAAATATGTTACAGCAACTATGAATGTGAAGGCATACTGCCAAGAAACTTCCTGAACTTTGGGTGGTTCATTGTGGTTCTACTACCCCATTGATACTAAAGAATGGTTGGCTTTTCGAGGCGTGAAGTACATATTCTGGGACTTTCCAGCTTGGAGATTCCACGCGCGCCAAATCAAGTTGACCGTTGACCATCGCTCAAAAATCATCAAATAATATCAAAGAATTACAGGAGACGAAGAAAAAGCCATGAGAATTTACGGAACTTCAGAATACTTGACTGGTTGGTGGTTTTAACCATCTTGAAAAATATGAGTTTGTCAATGGGAAGGATTAATCCCGAAATGGAAAATAAAAATGTTCCAAACCTCCAACCAGTTGAGTTGCTTAATCTTGTCTCATCCCCATAGCCGCTCATCTGAGCGTCCGGCCCATTGTCTGCCAGGAAGTGCTGGATGATGTCCAAGTCGCGAAAGGTGATCCGCTCGTTGGCCAATTGCACCTCTCCGTCCAGAGGCTTCAGATGGGGTGTACTGTCAGGTTGATTTTAATTTGAAAGGGACTTTAAAATAGGGGGGAAATAGGACAACTTAGATAACCAACTAACATTTTGGGATTGGGAATTTAGGTTTCTATATTTTTCCAGTGGGGGTGCTATGATGTGGCAAGCTTCCTATGCTTCAAGTTTGGGGATGGTATAACCCCCACGAACCTGGTAATCCACGTGATTCCATCGGTCCCCATGGGGTACCCCCACGGCCTGCAGAGGGGTCGGTTCCCAGAACTTGTCCGGAAGACGGAAGGGCTTCGGCGGCTGCGCTGCCGCCTAACAAGGCCGACTTGGATCCACTTCAAGTCGTGGAAGGCCCCAAGCGATCGTCCAAGGTATTGACGGTTTTGGCATGTTTGGGCCATTTCTGGTGAACCTCTCCATTGAGATGTTTGGTGTTTCCACTAGACGTCCCTTTTGGAATGGCTCAGTCCTCGCTAGTACCCTGGTTTTGACATCCTAAAAATTGGCAGTATGGTCATGTTATGTTATGTCTGGATGTAAATATTGGGACGTGTTGGGCCTATTTGGTATTAAGGATGCTGAAATTGCAGGGACAGCATCCAAAAGCGGGATGGCAATTTCCAGCACGTGAAAATTCACTGGCATCGCTGTGGCAGACTGGGTATCACATTTGGAGGTTTGAGAACCTCTTCAAAAGATAAAGTTCTAGATTGACCCAGCACGAACAAGAGACCACCCAGTTTTCTTAGGATTCTTAGGAAACCACGATCCACCGCAGCACTTTTTTAAGTGCCTCTTGCCCATGGTGGACTCTAAAGGATGAGCTGTACGGGTTGTAGGTCTTTGACATCCTCGCTGCCATGGAACTGGCAAACTGATGGCATGTGAAGTCTCTATGGTCTATGGTAGATATAACTATAGTTAATGGGGTTTATAAACCATCTTACAACTGGGGGGGCACCACTAGTGTCAACACTGGTGCCTAGTGTGGCACAACATCGACCCCGCGGAAAAATCATCTGTCCTCGCTAGGCTGCGTTTGATCTGGATCCGCATCTGGCGCGAGGCCAGGTTTCCCGGGCTGAGACTTGGACCCGTCGGTCACGGTGCCGAAAGTAGAGGTGTCGGTCATTGCTGGGTCGCAGGTAAATATCAATGGATTGGTTTAAGGGAAAATCTTAACCGGAAACCATGGTTTTTACCACCAAATATAGGGGTTTCCTGTAAATTTTCCCATCATCCAATTCTATGAAAATAGGATGAAAATTTGGATTAAATAGGCATCTGGGGCATCAAAAGGACCACAACTTTCGGGTCAGTTCTACTATTGATGAGCTATCTTTGGGGGAGTGGAATGATTTGGAGTCATTCATAACCAGTGAACCAACCAGCAGTGGCTGCAACATCCACGAATTTTAGTATCCAAAAACAATCAATGCATATAATATCATTATATATATATATAATCATGATTGATCATATATATATATATATATTATTATATATATACTGTATGTATATATATATATATTAATCATATAATCACGTATGCATTCGCAATGGCTGGAACATCCACAAAAGAGATGTGACTGACTCTCAAGAGTTTCTTGGGACGATCACAAACATGGATTAACAGTTGCATCTGTATAATCAATGTATACTCAATGGGCATACCATCCAGGTATCGACCAGATTATGGATGATTAATGGATGATTAATGGGCAATCATCCATTAATTAATCATCCATTAATTATCCAGAACACACTGAACTGAGCACTTGGGAAACTCCACACGTACTTTTTTGGCCGATCGCGCAGCCCTTTTGCTTCGTCGCTCCCAGGGCAGCGTTACTTCATCTTTGTGGTCTGGCCGTGCCGTGGGGACGGGGGAGGATGGATGGTGGTCGCAAACGGATCTCAAAGAACATGAGTTTGGACCAGTTTGGATCAACTTGCCACGTACAAATGGAAAATGAAAGTGCGAGAAACCACCGTTCAGGATGACATATGACATAGGATCACTGTTTGGAAGCAAGTTTTTTTTGGACACTTCACTCAAAACGTGTGTGTTTTGAACCCATCCAAGAACATCAGCCACCATTGGGGTTCATCATCCGCTGTGGATGAGCACCCTGCTGCAGATTTGAAATCGAATATATAACCACTGTCGTTTGAAACCGGAAATAATACAAGTTCAATGTATATATATACAGCATTATACAATATAACCATGTTCGAAGCCATATTTTTTTGGTTCTACCAACCACCAACAAGCTGACTCATGTGCAATCGCATAGCGCGTTCGCGCGTTCGGAGTCTGTCTCTCCACCCTTTGGGCCTGAGATGCAACGAGGTTTTTTCGAGCACTTCTTTTCCAGATCCAACCTGAGGCAAGGTGAAACACCCGTTTTTTTCTGGGAAATCATTGGACTGGAATGAAATTCATGGTGGATTCATGGTGATTAATGGTGATTGATGGTGATTGATGATATCAATGAATATCTAATATCTGCCCTCTGGCAATCAAACATGGCTGGAAAATCCCTCATTTATATATGATTCTCCCAGCTATAATCCTCCATTTAGTTCGGGGATTTCATTGGATTTGAAATTGCCATGTTTGTGTCCGCGTTGACCACTGAGGCGCAGTCTCGGAACACCCCAGAGGGAATCAAAGATGGCAATTGAAAAAGCAAAATGTTGATAGAAAACAAAAATTAAAAAAACACGCCTAAAAACCAATGGAAACCAGCTGAAAACCATTTGAAAATATCTAAAAAACATGTAAAAATAGCCAAACATATCTAAAACATTCTATAACTATTTATATCTAAAAATAAATCAAGAAATGAATTTTAAAGACCATGGAAATCTCCAACCCCTCAAGTTAGCTGGCTATCACCGTCCGAAACCTCGGGGCTGGGCTCTCCCGCTGCGCGCGGGGCTCTGGAAAAAGCTTCCTATATGGCAGCGTCGGCCTCAAGCACATCGAAGAACAGCTTTGAAAGTTCGAGCCACCTAAATGGATTAAAGAGATGGGGTGCTTCACAAAACAACATAGGGAAATTAGACGGTAAGTCTGATTGGGTAGCCGTGTGCACTTGTTTCGTAGTGTCAACAAGAAAAATGTATAAAAATGGGACAAAAGATGACAGTCGATTGGGGATCCACGGCCCACTTGTTAAACTAAAGATGAAATAAAGAATGCAAGCACCAAAATACGCACAGGAACCATGCTGAACATCCCAGGACGCCCTGGCAGTTTGCCGCAGTGATCCGGCGGTCGGAAGTCTCCGCGTAAGCTGATGGAGTGGTACCTGAAGCCGAAAGGCGCGGCCATGGCGCGGCTGGGGATATCGATGTCAAAAAAAATGGGGGAATCGTGTGGTAAACCCAATGCCATAGAGGATTATACAGATAAATGCCATAGTTAGACTAACTGATTTACGAACCTCCAATGCCATGGTATCATAGACCATCCCCCAGTAGAGGTTTACTATGGTTTACTAATTGATATACCTCCATGACTGGGAAGATGTAAGATGACCGCGGTCATGGTTCTTTGAAGCTCCCCCGAGAATTGGATGCCTGTCGTCAGATTGAACATCGCAACAAAAACATACAAAAACATTTGGCTGAGCAGTTCAATTACATCAAAACTAGGGAAGTGCGGCAAGAAGTTCAAGCACGACTGATGCCTCTTAATCCCTTTGACATGCTTCAAATGCCGATTTCAGACGGCGAAATCTGGACTTGAGACTAGGGAAATGGCCAAAAAGTGGTTTTCTCCATGGATAGCTTCAGATTCTGAAGCCCACAAGGTCCGTGTGATCGCGCGGGCCCCCACCATGACCAGATTTTGACCAGGTCAAATCTCCATTTCTGAAGGAGGGTGACATGAAGAAGTCAGTAAAAGTTCCCATGTTTATTAGTGCCATCTGGTTATGACTAACAGTTCGCCATGGAAAGATCCACCATTTTTAAGTTCGGTAAACCATCTATACCATGGCGAACTGTTAGTCATAACCAGGTTGGGTACTTCAATCTGCATCGACCCGTCTTTTCAGGCTGAACCAGGCATCCAAACATGGCGGTGGCAGCGTAGCTGTAGGTGGATCCACCCGTGGGGGCCACCAGCACATTACATCGACCCGTTAGGAGCATGTCCTGTGACGAGAGATGGGGGATCTGCTTGGATCGTCAGCAAAACGTTGAAAATCCCTAGTAGATTCCACTTCAATGGATCCAAATGGTGGATTTTAGGAATAACAATCGAGATAGGGATAGGGAGGATTTGTACACATGTCTTTTCATACAATGGACAGTGAAGTCTATCTGGGGAACGGGATTATAACAAGTATACAGTACAGTACAGCGGATCACCATGGAAACAGTATGGCATCATATCCCGTTTCTATTTGTTGGACCCCGCTCCAGCGATGGTGAATCTTTCTGAGTCAGACGTCTGGCAATTCAACATAGCTACGGAAAATGAACCATTTAGATCCATTTAGATCCATTTAGATCGATCCATTTAGTTCGATGATTTACCTATCTAAATGGTCCGTTTCCATAGCTACTTTGAACTACCACGGCAAGGCAAATCAAGACTCGTATTTATATATTAGATATTTTTTGTGATTTTCCCAGTGTATACCCATTATGGACGTCCGTTTCTCATGGATTCAAAATGACCATCCACGGCCCCATCCCCACTGCTCCTTGTAAGCGGTGCGGTCGTCCTTCTGCCCTCCAACAGACCTGTCGTTATTTCGAGGCGCTTCGAGTCCCGACAGCTTCCGGCAAGAACTCCTTCCATCCACTGGTTAATCACCATTTTCCTCATGAAAGCGGTTTAAACCTGCCATTTTTGAGGGTATATCATCCACTTCATCCACTGGTTAGTTATATCATATAATCATTTTCCGTGTGAAAATGGCTCCACTTGAGGGTATACCCCCCATTTTCGGATCCATGTTCGGAGATGGAACAACTTCTGCCGCAGAAGTTCGCCAGTGTAAGATGGCTCGCAGGTGGCCAGGAACGAGGATTCTTGTTTGTAAAGGGTAGTGGAAACGGAACAGCTGAAGAGCTACGGGAACATCTTCACCAAGCCTAGTCCCAGTTGAATCTTTTGGGGACCTTCCCAGCGATTGAATCCACTGAGACTTCATTCATCCTGAGTTGACAATGAGACCATTTAGGATCTGGATCAGTAGCAAATACACAACCACGAAATGGATCGAAACGGGTCACTGCCAACCCGAGGACAACATATGCTAAAGTGGGTCATTGGCAAGTACGTAGTCGACTGTTAACCTCCTTTTCGTTTTTGTTCATGTTCAATCATTATACTCAACACGCTGTTCATTTTCCAAGTGGCTTTGTCTGAAAATTGGGTACCCATAAATCTGCTTCATCATCATCTCTAGCAAACAATTCCAAGTTTGTTTGAGGCTACGTGGTAACTCCCCGAGATTTTCAGGTACACCCAATGACCAGCAACCAGCAACCCCTGGGTCTCCAGCTTGTCCCAGGTCGGCCAGGTCACATTAACCTGCTGTGACCGCCGAAAAATCCGATGTTTCTTTTCCGGCAACAACTGAGATGAAACCCGGCAGAAAATGAGATTTCACATAATTTCTCAGCAACAGCTGGGGATTGGAAAATGAGATGTCACACAATTTAAGCCACAAAAGCGGATTGGAACAACACATTCAGATTAATCATATAATTATAATAATAATAGATAATACTACTACTACTACTACTACTACTACTACTACTACTACTACTACTACTACTACTACTACTACTACTACTACTACACGACTACTACTACTACTAATAATAATAGTATATCAGTATATCTATCCAATGATTTTCCACTGGATTTTTTCGATCTGTCGAAACTCCCTTGGATCCCCGCTCCAAGACGGCGACTGAGGCCATGACGCGTTGGGCGAAAGCTTTTCTGACCTGCACTCGACGTCGGCGAATTGGCTGAAGAAATCGATGTGACACTAAGAATAGCTATGGAATGGCCTTGAGTAAACTAACATAGCTATGGTATGCTATGGTACATCACCATGTTGATTAGTAACTCATCGATATTCATCTATAAACGGTCCATTTTCCATCAGCTATGTCAGTTTACTTTAGGGTCAGACATCACCCAAATTCCTGCTTCCGTGGGTCCAGTGCTCCCCGGTTTTTGTGTCACCGACTTTCTTTGTGACCCAGTAAGCTTTGTCTCAACAGCAGCCCAAACAAAATCCAATGGTGTGTCACTTTTTTTCTCCCATTGAAACTCATTTTCCTGGTCACGTCCCCAGTCTTTGATGGTCATATCAGTCATATCCGCATGGTCGTGCCTTCTGCCTGAAGCTGTCTCGCATGGAAGACACATGGATGACCTGACATGTCCACGGTTTCAGAATGAATTTCGTCGGGGTCCCGTTGGTTTTCTTGGGAAAACCTTCAGGAAACCATGGTGCTTACCTTGAAATGCGGGTCCCAGGAGTGTTTCCTGTTCCCATCATCCAAGTCCGGGACAAAGCTGCTTATTTCAAGACGATGAAGCCAATCCCCATTCCAATCAGTCGATTTGCCATGATGATTTTTGTGTGGCAGCTGGTCCTCTTTCATGGGGCACATAGATATGTTTGTCGGTTTGTCTGGTACCCCCAAATCTCATGAGTCATCATCATGTTCGATGAAACTGCTGCAAATTCGGTATCAGCTATTTCTATCTATTTCTGGGAAGACCTAAAATGGGCGACAATTGACCCGAACAAAAACAGGTAGTTCATAAACCCTTATATTACAACTAATCAAGCATTGATGGTGGCATCCCTGAGAGTTAAACTTCATTGATTGAATACCCTCTAGAAAGCCAGGATAGCTACTAACTCACAATGCATATCAAAATTGTGGCTAATTAGTTCTAACATGCTATAACCCATTAGTGGTGAAATATCCGATCAGCACTATATATATACCATATCATATTATATATCACATCATATTAGAGATTATATCATATCAGATTATACTATATCATATTATACTATATCATATTATACTATATCGTATCATATTATATTTTTCTATTTTATATTATATTACAATATATTATACTATATTATAATATATTATCATGAAATAATAAACCAGGCTCATACCTCATCAACCAGGCCCATCTGGTCACTGCTCCAGTTCCACCAGGTCACCGGAAGAGCATCTTGCGGCCACCATGGGGCGGCCTCGAGGTGGGCTGTTCGAAGTTCTGAAAATCAATGGTCCAATGAAGGCGATGAGAAAATCTGTGATGGTGATGATGATGATGATGATGATGATGATGATGTGTATATGTATATATATATCAAAAATTGAGTCATGTCAGTCTAGAAGAACTACTACGGAGTCCGAAATATCGCAGGAACCACTCCTTTCTACATCTGGATACCGAAATGTTGGGGGTCAGGTGGGGACTCAAGGGACCTAAGAGTCATGAATGAGGATACCCTCTGGCAATTAGACCTTGCAATGGAAAATTCCCCAGCAACATCTCCTGTCAAAGGATGAATTTCCCACTAAAACATACTAAAACCTCCATGAATCTAGGAGGTTCCCATTAAATCCTCCATATCTGGCTGATTTTCCCATACAAAAAAAAAAACACCATTTATAATAATGTTCCAATCAAAACAAATTTTTGGTGCATCTCCCATGACGTGTCTTGCCAAGATACCAACATGTCATCTATGCCTTGGTCGCCGGGAAATTTGCCGATTTCTAGCCATGGAGGTTTGGTTCGCTGGGAAAATCATCGGTTTCTAAATGATGGACTTTCCAGCGAGCCATGTTCGAAAAACCGGAGTGCATGAAGCTGTTGGAGGGTTACCCTCAGCTATTGAAAATGACCCAGTCGAAAGTGGATTCACCCATTAAAAATGGTGGATCTTTCCATAGTTATATATGTTAGTTTACCGGAGGGTAACAATCAAGAATAGGGGTCAGTTGGGTCACTAGCATGGATAGAATGATAGAAGATGGCTTCGGAAAAAAATGGGATCACTGTTGGATAAATCTGCTGGAACCAAAACACATATATATTGTGTATATATATATATCACACAGACTAATGTGCTACAGCCAATCATATTGTCATAAACCATACCAGGTTTATCGACTTTTACCTGAGGAGATCATAAACCATACATTCTGATGGTCCCCCGTGCTATTGAGACTTCTTTTGTGCAATGGAACCTCCTGCAGCTCCAAAAAAAACAACAGGTCAGCATTGGTTTTGGCAGAGCAAATGTGCGATTTCCCCACAAGGATGCTACTGGGTAATGATCTACAAATGGTGGGCTTTCCACATATGTTTGTTTACAAGCGGGTATCTTTCAGTCTCCCATCTGGATATTGGTTCGTTCAGCAGTTTTCCCAGGTTTTTCTCCATCCAGATCATGCCAACTCCCGCAACAGTGGGGAATCTTGAACATCTTAGTCCAATGGGTCAACATGTGCCAAAAAACATTCACAGATACATGGCTTGATACATGTTGATACATTTGGGCCAAGATCTACCATGATACAACCAAAAAAATCATCTGTCTGCATTTCCGGCCACTGGGTCCACGCACATCGCTGGCCCTGTTCCAGTTCTTGGCTTGAGCCCCAACCTTTGGATGGCTCTCTGGGGTTGGTGTTGGTATGGAACTAATGTGGTAAAGCTGGAAAATGCAAGCATCAACCATACCACGTCCAATTTTATCAACAAATTTATTAGAATTTGGGTCTTTCAAGAAAATATGTACTAATATGTAATAATATCCCCAAATTTGGAGACCTTTATGGCAGGGTTTTTTCATTAAGTTTGCCACCTTCAGCAAGCTTCGGGTGGTCTGGGAGTCTGGGCACTCCGACGGCCCTGGAAACAGACGGACATGGGAGCACCAGACCTTAAGAAAATCCCGGAGACATCGTTGGAAGAGATTCTGGGCTTCCAAGTTTTCATAGTTTTCCGAATGCGGCAAAGATTGAGTTCAATCCAGGAGTTAACAAAAAAAAACTCCTAGATGCTTGGACAATGAAAAAATTGCAGTTGATGGAGCACGAAAGGAGCGAGATAACAAACATGAGAGCTGCCAGAATGGAAATGTCTTCCGATATCTTCCCATCATCTTGTCTTTTTTGTTACACACTGAAGTGTCTCTTAGATACACCATGAACTATATTATGAACAGTACAAATAAAATATCCAGTACATATAAATCAAACTATAGTATGGATAATACTAAATCATGATAATTGATACACACCTTGAATTTGTACTCTTATCCTCTTATCAAATTACAATATCCAGTACATATAAAGTACATCTTCTATGCCGCTGTCATGCTTCCAAGGGCAGGACAAGTTGTCCTTGATATAGTGCTCGATCTCCTGTCAATGATCCCAATGTCCACTGTCGGAACAAATGGCCCGAATGACCCGGAGCCAGAATGGTTTCGTGGCTTCGAGAGAAAAGTGGTTGAATCCTACTGAAATGGAAGCTTCAACCACTATCAAATCACTGTAAACCACTATTAACCACTATTAACCACTATTAACCACTATGAACCACAATTAATCACTATGAACCACTTTTTCATGGAACTCATGGGGGATCCCAATTAACATTAATTTCCAAAGGAGGGGCGTGGACCTCCTGCACCGTGGCCGAAGGAGAGTACAGCCACCGCCTGAGTTGATGTTAGTTGCCTCTGATGGATAGAAAAGTCAATGACATGACGCTTTGTTGGATAAGTCATGATAAGTCTCTGGTAAACTAACATAGCCATGGAAAATCACCATCTTCCATAGGTAAATCAACTATAAATGGCCTATTTTCTATAGCTTTTTCTATGTTTACCAGAGGGATAAGTCTCTATAGTTCTGCATCATCTTCATACTCCGACCTCGCCAGGTCAAGATGTTGCCTGAGCATTCGGACGCCAAAGGGCCGTAGATGTCCAGAATCACCTCGATTTTTGTTTCGTGAATTTGGGGTGGCGCCGTGAAAACCACCTGAAAATGATGTGAAAACCATGGTTTATGTTGCGCAAAAGCCGACGAGACTAGACGTGGGTGCCATTGTTTGGCCCTATCCTATATCCCCAGGTTCAATAGTTCCATGGTAACCTTTTCTTTGGGTACCGCAACAAGATACCTGTTCATGTCGGCTGCCGGTAATCAAATTGGGCCAGGAAAATCCCCCAGCAGCATGTTTATGATCTTCATTTTGCCAGAAAAAAAAGAAACATCCATATACAAACACAAAGAAAACAAAGTGAGCCAGATTAGATGACACCCAGATATGATTCGATCTGACTTGCCTCCTCGCCGGCTGGCCGCTCAAAGGCAGCAGTCATCCTGTTTCGTCGAAGAGGTTGCAGTGGATCAAGCCTTCTCCCTAAAATTAGTGAGATATTATTGGGATATTATATAATAGAATATTAATGGGAAATGGGAAATTGATGGGATATTACTGGGAAATTCATGGGATATTCATGGGATATCATCCCTTCCACCTAATATCAAACACCATGAACCATAGTTTCGTAGAAGATAAAACCACACCTGTGGCATCATAGAAATGGGGTGTTCAATACTCTATAGGAGATATGGGATTCTTCCCTGGAACCAATTCTGGGGTTGGAGATAAATTCTTGCAATCTCCATCACATTCATATGGACGATGAACCGCTCATGTTTGACTGGGTGTCTCAATCATCAAGTGTATATTGATGTAAATTCACTGACAGATTCACCTCATCACTTTCGGATTTTTTTTGAAGGTAGTTATGTGCCGACTTGTCATGTTCAGTATTTGGACGGTCCAGGGAGAAGCACGCCTTTTTGCCTCCCAATTTTCGTTGTCCGAGCTCTCAAGGTTTTGTGGCTTCAATGAATGTATCGAAACAAAGATGGACGAATCAATAAAAACAGATTTGGGATCTGGTTTGAGCATGTCCAGCATGTCAATCCTGGATTTATATGACCAGGTTGACATCCCATTAATAAGCTTATATCCTATTAATATCTATTAATGGGATATCATATATCACCATATAACATCCCATTAATAGTATATGAATTATCCCATTAATATCCCATTAATATTATATATTATATCATATTATATCCCATTAATATCACCGAAAAACCTCCCAAGACTCATTTGATAAACAATGCCAAAGCAAGTTTTGCGTGGTCTCCTCTGGGAGTACAAGGGGTTCTGAGACAAAATCTCGCCGAACCATGCGCCGGACTGGACCTCACCAGCTACGAGGAAACGCTACCAGGATTTGGCCAATGCCCCCAGAAATTCACCTCCCAGCAGATCCTGATGAAGCCTGATGATTTTTGGGGCTTCAGATGGGTTAAGGGATGTGTCAATCTCAAGCTCCTGAAGTCTCCGTACCGGCGACCACTAGGATCAACATCCACCAAAGTCTTCCAAGGAATCCCAAAATCCTGTAGAAACATGATGGAAACAAAGAAAGTGTCCATCTGTTACCATCATTTTCCCGAAAAATGTTGGAGATAGTTCCCATGAAATACTGCATTAAAAGCACAACAATCGAGATCAAAACTAAGGACCAGACCACCAGTATCCTCTTGGCCCGCAGTTCTTTACCTCGGGTTCGGCACAGGTAACCAACGTCAATCGGGAAGATGTTTTTCAGATCAGAAACCAATCGTATTTTTAGGGGTCAATCATAAGTGCCATGGTGCCATGACCAAGTCACATGATACATAAGTCATAAGATGTATATACGGTGTATATTAACATATGGCTTATGGTTATATATGGTTATCCCACCATGAAATTGTGAATCCTTCTGTTGGCTATTGTAATTGACTAAGTGACTATTTTGCTGATTGTGTGACCATCCCCTAAGATTTTTCATCCAACCTTTTTCCCCATGGCAGCCCATGGCACAAGTCTGTGCCAAGGCCGTCTTGGTAAACCTTGTGGTTTCCCCTCCAACACCAGGTTTGGAGGTCACAAATCGAAATGGAACATGGGACTGATTGGACCTCCAAATTCATGCTGATTTCCTGCTCCTGATATGAATCCTTCTGCGCAAAGTCAGGGGTCCATCATGTTCAAACCATGTTTTTGGCTTTTGTGAGTTTCCGAGAATCCCGTCCACTTGCTCACATCCCTCAAAGCAGCCCTGCTGAATTCATCCCTAAATCTCAGTTCTGACAAATTCCAAACTGGAAATGATGTTTTGGTTGGGATGTTTCCACCATAAAACATCATGGTCCTTAGTCTTATCATAGCTAATTCCAAGGTACAAAGCTTCTTGTAAGAACAGCCTTTCCAAAAGATCCTCAGTGCCACCACAAAAATGTCCATCACACAGGCGCCATGTACGAACGTCAACATCGGGTGATTGGCGAACACGAAATGTCTTCGAAAGTCTTTGAAGGGGGAAACAAAACTGACTGCTTTGAAACATCAAAAGGTATCACCACGGTGCCTTTTGATGGTTCAACTCTTATGATGGTCAGCCACAGCCAATCTACCGTTTTTGGTGAGGCCCAGGTGAATCCTGCCGACCCAAAATCCAGTGCTTGGAAACCTGATGAAAAACACTTTGGTGCTTCCCCAGATTTTCCCCATTTTTCAGGGCCATCGGTTGGGGTTTGGTCCCCAGTTCTGCTCCAAGTTTCGTGAGGATGTCCACCTCCTCCACCTAGCGCGAACTTCAGAAATGTTCCGTCAAAATCAACGATACGATTTCACAAGCAACAAGACCAACAAGTGCTGTTGAACCCACAGAGGAAAATGAGGAAATATCGGACCTGCTTGAACAGGACAATGGAAAGTCAAAACCCGATGGGAAGGGTACAGAGGAAGTCTATATTGTTCATTGTAGTAGTTGTGCCCTCAGGAATTTCAACGACCTTCAGAAGCAAAGCCTGCAACTACTAGGTTTCCAATCTGCTTAGTCAGCCGTGGGTATCAAGAAAATGTCAGCTGTGCCCATGGGATATTTATTTATTTATTTATTTGATTATTTATATTTAATTATTTATATATGCATAGATATGTATATATATATATTCGTACATTTATATATTTATATATATTTATGATATGATATTTATTTATATTTATATATAATATATACTGTATTCATTTGTATTCGAAGTACAAGCATGCGAATCATTGGAAATCATGGTACAATCCACAGGGATATTTGAAGCAGCTATCCACAGGATATGCTAAAGATGGTCCCTTTGGAATACTCCAGAACTCTGGACACAGCCATATGGGCGTCAGATTCAGGTTTGCCCAAAAAGTAAGGCAAGATGGTGACTTAATTTTAGGTACCTGAACACAAAACAAGAAGTACCGTCAGAATCAAAATGTCGATCCAAAACAAATGTTCTTTTCAAAAGGGAACATTAAAAAAACATGTAACATGATAAAAACCAATTTACGAAATTTCATCCCTGGCTGCGGGAAAACCCATGGGAAATCCCGGACATTTATCTACATTCACGGTCGGATTTTCCACATCGAACTGTTGGCCTCCTCTTTCATCAACTTTTTGGACGCCTTGGCCTTCACCTGCGACTCCCGCCGAAAAACGGATCGATGATTGATCCACTGCCGAAACCGGAAGTGGATCATAAAAAGAGACGTTGGAATTGGATCATCCATTTAAAAAAAAAGCACCCATGTTTTTTGGAAAATGATCATTGTCCAATTTTGTTTGGGTGAAAATGACCTCATGTTCAGGAAAGAACTGGGTGAAAATCACAGATGGTTCAGGAAAGAATGATGCAAAATGTATGTGAATCTCAGGACATTACCAAAACAAGAAACTCGCTTAGCTATTAGCATCTGTTCAAGCATAAAAGTAGAGGCGATTGGCAATGAAAAATGTGACCTTGCAGCAACCGAAAGATCCCAACAAAACAGGTCAGTTGCATCACTTTGTCATTTTGCCAATCCATCAATATGTGTTTTAAATCAGTCAGTATCATTAAATAAATTCATGCAGTATCTAGTTGTACATGCAAATGTCATCATATGTTCTATAGATTGCACTACCTTCAAGTGTCCATACAGTTGTATCAACAGACATAATATATAGTATAAAGTATATTCTATATAATATTACGTATATATATATATGATATTTGAGCAAGGACCAGGGCAATCTTAGCACGTGATTGGATAAAGATCGTCAAAATCAAAATAAGAATGTAACTGTTTAACACATCGGAATTGGATCATTCCCTGTCCCCTGTCAGTGCAGAGCTGTAAATTGATGTGCCAACAGGGAGTGCAGCAAATCCATACAATGCGGCCTGAAGCTGCTGCACATTTCGGAGCTGATCTTGGACTGCAGAACTATTGCCACCCCAGAGTTGATTGCCCCATGTAGCAACTGATCCGTCAGCTAGGATTGCAGCAAAAGCCCCAGCTGTGGACTGAACTTGCTGCACGTTCTGGAGCTGATCTTGGACGGCAAAGGTTCTCCCACCCCAATCCCTATCGCCCCATGTGATAACTGATCTGTCAGCTAAGATGGCGGCAAATGCCTGCTGTGTGGCGTGAACAGAGCTGCACGTTTTGAAGCCTATCTTTGACTGCAGAGCTGTCACCCGCGCAATCTGGATGGCCCCATGCAACAACTGATCTATCAACTAGGATTGCAGCAAATGCCCCAGCTGTGCCCTGCACCTGCTGTACATTCTGGAGCTGATTTTGGACTGTAGAGCCGTCGCCACCCCAAAAAACATGGCCCCATGTGACAACCGATCCATTCGCCAAGATTGCAGCAAATGCCTGCTCTGTTGCCTCAACTTGTTGCACATTGCGGAGCTGATCTTGGACTGCCGAGCTGTCCCCTCCGCGATCAGGGTCACCCCATGTAACAACGGATCCATCAGCCAAAATTGCAGCAAATGCGTGAGCTGTTGCCCGAATCTCCGGAGCTGATCTTGGACTGCAGAACTGTCACCTCCGAAGTCTGGATTCCCCCAAGTGATCCCATTGTCTCCATTTTGCAATGCAAAGGCCATGTGTGTTGCTGCTACCTTTGGTTGGAGTTAGCAATAGCAGCCCAGCTTGCAACAACTCTGTGTGGAATCCAGGAGATGTCCGTCTACCAGCCTTAGGAACCTTTGTCCCTTGGGAGTTTCTGGGCCTGAAATTTGAAGTCCCCTACTTTGGATGTTGGAAGTGAAAGGTTTTCACTCCGACCACTGGGAAAAGCTATGCTGAATTGAATCATAATATGTTTTGAAGCACTTTGAGGCGAGGCGAGAAACGATCAGTCTTCTCTTCTACCAAACGACTCATGCTGAACCCAGCCATTTCTTGGCTCGAAAGACTACCAAAAGTACAACAAGAAGCAGGGACCGTTTGGCACCTCAACTATTTTTCTTGGTTTTAGCTCCAATCTACTGGAAAATAAAAACTTTCCAGTCGGGTCACAATTTAGGGGCTATCCCCGGACCCACCCTCAGTGGATAGTATGTGATCATAGCGAGGTTTCTTAAATCCCACTTTGTTCGCTAAATCCCAATTTGATAATTTGTTCATGCTGAAATCCTCATGTTCAGTGCTTGAAAATCGCTCTTTCTCATGCCCAAGTCCCATTGTTTGCTGGCGAAATACTATTTCCTTTGCTTAGAACATCATGTTTGTTTGATATGTTCTACCCTCTGGTAAACGTTTACATAACTATGGAAAGATTCACCATTTTTGATGGGTAAATCCAATATAAATGGCAATTTTCAATAGCTATGTTAGTTCAACCTCTCCAAGTCGTCGTACTTTTCCGTCCCAACACATCCGATGTCATCGCCTTCTCGGGGAGCTCCCTCCAGCTGCATAACGGGCCCTGCATCCAGCCGCAGACGTCGGGGCCCCCGAGATGTGCGAAGCTGCGGTTCATCAGCGAGGCCAACAGCAGGGAACTGCTGAGGCCTAACATCCAGTTGCCTCGGAGACCAACGTGAAATGATGATGTTTGGATGGAGAAAAAAAAGTTCGGTGGATTTTTGTGGGGGATGAGAGGTTTTTTTCCCACCATGGTGATATAAAAAATGCTTGATTATGATGATTTTAGTTATGACTGTTGAAAAACTAAGCGTAGAAATGGATAGAAATTGGTGAATTGAAACAAGCGACGAACTAGCCAGGCAGCCAACCAGACAATGAGCCAACCAACCAGCTATCTATAGGATCGCCATCATAAGCATTCATGGGATATGTTTTTCGAGGATTTAACAAAACATTATCTATTTCAAAGGGACTTACTATCAAGTAAGGAAACGGTTGATTGTGATTTTGTTGCATATGATTAATGAACGGATGCTAGTGGATGTTCATAAATGATGTAGATGGAGTTCAACCCAAAAGATGTGGCATTTCACAGGCCACTTGCTAAATCCCTGTTTGCTGCTTCGATCCCTTTTTGTTGTCGTGTTGAATCGCCATTTTGGCGTGTGAAATCCCCCCACGCCGCTGCCTAGACCATGGAAGCCAGCGAAGATCAACCACTTGCCGCTGCCTTCCCTCGTTCGCTGCAACTCCTGGCCAAACTGAAGATTTGGAGGTATAGAAACCCCGATTCCTGGCCAATCCATCGAGATTTCTGTGTTTTTTGCTGACATGATTCATCACAATTCGTCATATTTCCCTAGCTCAAGCTGAACTTCAACTTCCCACGGCCAGAACTAGCTTTGAAGGCAAGAGTTCGTGCCACACACTCCACTTTCGTTCAAGGTCGGCCAACCCAAACTCCAAAATCGGCGTGCAGCTCTCATCTTTGTTGCTGAACCATATATAGATATAATAATATAATATATACGTATAATTACGTATATATGGCGGGGTAATGGCGAGGTACTGAATTAAGGTCCATTCAACATGGTCAAAGATAAATAGCAATCATTCACCAACCATTCACCAACATCTGGATAAGTAATAGTTTCGAATAGTTAATCAAAATTACTGATTCTCTACAGATACTAATACTTTAGTTCATTCCTGAACCTGATTTGTCCTATCAAATTGACGCTTTCCTCAATCTGAACCATGTTGAGGTCAGCCAGGAGGTACTTTTGCTCCAGTGATCCCCATGTTGGTCAAATCTTCACATCGGGATATCTGGTAAACGGTTACATAACGAACTGGAAAGATCCACCATTTTGTAGCTGGGCAAATCAACTACTTCTATGGGCCATTTCCCATGGCTATGTTAAATAACCAGATGGTATATTGATCCCCTACCCTCTGGTAAACATACAAAAAACTATTGAAGATCCACCATTTTATAGCTGGTTAAATCAACTAACTATTTCTATGGGCCATTTCCCATGGCTATGTTAAATAACCAGATGGTATATTGATCCCCTACCCTCTGGTAAACATACAAAAAACTATTAAAGATCCACCATTTTATAGCTGGTTAAATCAACTATTTCTATGGGCCATGTTCAATAGCTATTTCGACATAACCAGAGGGTATATGTTTCGTGGATGTTTGTGGCCAACGGATTCGTCAACAGCGCATCTTTTTGCTGGTTGAATCCCTATTGCACTGCGGTTGTTGGCGATTCATATCATTTCAAGCGATTCTACTGGTTGAATCACCAATTCATCCCTTTCCGTAGTTAAAGAAAAACATCCCGCATCTCCAATCTCAAGGTGATGTTCAAATTCTCTGGGATTCATATGGTGTGGCCTCTGGTAAACAAACACTTTGCGGGAAAGATCCACCAACAACAAAAAGAACGGTAAATCAACATAAATCAACAATTTCGACTGGGCCATGGCTTCAACAATCTTCAACAGCGTAACAAATTACCAGAGGCTTCTTAAAACACACAGCTGCCCTTGGACCATCGTCCCCCGATGTCCCCCGGAGATCCCAGGACCTCAACCTCCCGCCGGAAGATCTGGAAGCCCGGCGGGTCCGGGGCACGATCCTCAGGGGCAAAGTGACACATTTCAGTTGAAGAAACAATTTGAGTTGAAAATATGTGATTCATCCATATTCAGTATTTACTTCAACTTTGAGTTGATATGGATAAATAGTTGAAGAAACCATAAGTGGGGATTTAAGTGGGGTGAAGTACTTGAAAAAAATACATCATAAAACATCGTTTGATGGATTCATGAAGAAACCCTCATTGCAATATCGTCCACTTTCTGCTAACCCGAACCACGCCACACAAGAAAATGAGTACCCTAAAGACATCGGTGCCATCTATGATGATCATAATGGAGCAGCCCCTCGCACACCTTCCATTCGCCCATTCGCTGCAAACCCTGAAAAAAAAAATAGGAGTTCCTCACTGAAAATGTCAATATGGGTATGGATCAATACCTATTAATACCATTTTTAGTGGGATGAACATCCATTTACCAGCTATTTTAGGGTTCACTAGGTACCAGGGTTTTGACCCATCCCCATATGATGTCTACTGACCTACCCACAGGATCACCCATTTTCCATCATTTTCCCACTAACACCGGCAAATTTCTTTTACAAAAACGGGCCCCTTCTCTCCTTGAAGATCCACGAGATCTCAGCAGGTAGCGCCGGCCGCGCAGCATCTCTGGTCCTTCGGCCAGCATTCGGCAACCGCACCGCAGCCAGATTTTGCGGGCCCGCACCACCGCAAGGACAACTTTAAGCAACGAATAAAGTATAGTATAATAAAGTGATATTATAATCATCAAGAATCAAGAATATAAATTCAAACCAGTTCAGACCAACAAATTGATGGGAACGTTAAAATAACAAAATGATGGGAAATTGATTCAACTCAATGTCATTTGCAGGAGGAGGTCCATCATGGCACGTAGGACAGATGGAACCCCCCTGCACAGGGCCATATCAAACCGCCCATTAGGATTGCAATCATCCAGCGATTTATTCCGAACTGGTTGCAGTCTATACTTAATATGAATTAATATGTAATCCAAATCCAACAGCTGTGCTCCTCTCCATTTCACCCATCTCCATCTCATCCTTCGGTGCCTCCACCACTTTGGGCGCCGTTTCAGGTGCTGGGACCGGCTCGGATGGTGCGAACTCGATGGTGTCGCTGCGGTTGGGCACCACCAACTCCGCGGAGTTCAGCTGCCACACGGGGTTCTCCCATAGCACCAGCAGTCCAAAGAAGCCTAGCTGGGAAGGAACAAGGTTGCTTTAAAGAAATCGATTTCACTTCTGTCAATCTTTGGTTTTTGAAAAAGTGACGTCATGTTTACTGATTGCTGATTGCTTGGCATATGGCAGCTCGTCGTTGTGAGTAACGTATCCACAAATAGTTCTTCGTTCTGATGATCAAATGGCATGACCAAACCACTTTTTGGGGTTTTTTTTGGATCCCCAGGTTCAGGCAACCAACAACAGGGTACCCCGTGGTACCTGCAGCCACCAGTAAACCGAAGCAGCAACGCCGAATCATGCAGCCTTCCATCATTCGAGCGGCAATCATTGAGGGAACCCCCAGCAAAATACGCAAAATATCTGGCAGGGGCATGCAGGGACCTTATTTTTCCATATGTTTTCTATGCTCGATTTATATGTCTGCCAATTCCCACAGATTTTCAGCCTTCGAAATCGTGCCAATAGCATGTCAGATTGTGGGAACCACAGATGGTCAACCATCCCGTTTCGGGCGCTGTGGGCGCGCCATGGCGCAAGCGATTCAGAGGCAGAGCTTCGCTATGGGAAAGTCATGAGGCGTTGCAGATCGTTGCAGGTAAGTTGACCCCCTCGTGCAACCAGAACCAAGTCGTTGCTTCACCCATGCGTTGGTACCATCTCGCAAGGAACTGGAGAGTGAATTTCTGGACTCAAACTTCCATTGTCGGGTTTGGGTCAAGTTTACCTAGTACCATGCAAAAAAAAAAAAACTGTTGCAGAAAGTTGGTGGTTCAGAATACTAGAAAAAGAACTCACCCAGATTTGTTGGTCGAATTAATGGTGTTTTCCATGCGAAAAAAATGCCTGTGGCTTGATCCCGCCACAACTTCCCAGACATTGATTTCACCCCGACAGCCCTGGACATTTGAAGTTCTGTAAACCATCATAAATGTCCACAAATTCCAGTTTTATCATAGTTGGAATGACCTTTCAACGCCATTTGGGCCAGAAAAAAAAACAAGCGCTTCACTTCACCATACCTCTTGGCAAATCTGTTGCTCAAACCGGTCCCAACGAAGTGACCCAAACACATCCCCATGTCCTCTAGCAGTTGACCACTATTCACCATCCAGTCCAGGAACTCAACACAGCATTTCGAGTGAATCAACACAATCAACACAATCAACATAGCAACATCCAGTAAATTAAATCAACAGAAACACAACATGCCCAGTACATCAACAGAGTTAAAGTGATACCATAAACCACCAACCATTCACCACTGACCAAGCCGAAAAATGGGAACCGCTGCTCGCAGGACCCGCTTGGCTTCGGCCGCGCTGACGATCCGCTGGTACTCATCGAACTCCGCCGTGACCTGCGGATTGGGGTAGTCTTGGTGAATATGACTACTGTCAGCAAAAAGGACTTACAATATAAATATACATATATATATAGATAGATAGATAGATAGATAGATAGAGATAGATAGATAGATAGATAGAGATAGATAGATAGATAGATAGAGATAGAGATAGAGATAGAGATAGAGATAGAGATAGAGATATAGATATAGATATAGAATGATATAGATATATATAGATATAGATATAGATATAGATATAGATATGGATATGGATATAGATATGGATATAGATATGGATATAGATATAGATATGTATAACCTGGACCTAGCCTTTCCACTAAGTGGGATTCTCTAAAATCTAAAAATAGGGTCTGCCCAGTCTGCCTGCAGTATTCCTATCTGGAGGAAGCATCAAGTTCCACTGAAACTGAGGTGTCTTGAAGTACCATAAAGTGAGCACCAAGGCAGCGTCTGAAATCATGGCACGCTGGAACTCCACTCGCCAGGCTGACCAACATGTCCCATCGATGAGCGGGCGAGCCAAGGGCTACCAATCAAACAATGATAGAAAAAAAAAACATGAGATTGATCTCATAGAATTGGATTATGGGAAAATTTACAGGAAAGCCCTATATTTGATGGTAAAAACCATGGTTTCCTGTAGATTTTCCCTTAAACCAATCCAGTGATGATCATGTTCACTATTTTTGTTGCGTGCATTTTTTGGGGACGTAGCCTTGAAATCTATGTCAATCAATTCCCTCTCTTGAGCCAAGTTTCAGGGATCACTGATGCCTGATCCAATGGCTAAACTTAAACTGATTTTTTAGTTTACTGGCTACTGTCTGGATATTATGAATTAGTATACAGTATATATATATACATATATATATATATAATTACATATATATATATGGACACACAGACACATACATATTATTCCCCACATGCAGAAACTTAACCAACCCAGATCCCGTGGCCTGTTGTTTGAGGTCTTGGACTTGATGAAAAGGGCTCCAGTAGGGATCTATGTTGTGCTTAGCAGCAGGCCTCCAACGTGTTTTGGAAACCAGCAGGGAACATCAACAGGAAAATCCTAAGCACCTTTCAATGGATTGAAAGGAAAATCCTAAGCGGAAAAGCATGGTACCTCTGTGTTTTTTGTCCAGTAATAATGGGGTTCCTGTAAACTTTCCCATCATCCAATTCCGTGGAACTTGGCAAAAAGACGGCGAATTGACTATAGACTATATCTGGTTGGTGGTTTCAACCCCTCTGAAAAATATTAGTCAGTTGGGGTTACTATTCCCAATATATGGAAAAATAAAAAATGTTCCAAACCACCAACCAGATATAGTTGATTATCATCCTGTCTTTGTGAATGACACTACCAAAATATAGGGGATCCAGTGTATCAGCACCTGATACCCGGACCGGGTTTGGGCTGGATATGGCCTCATTTTTGACCAGTTCATCCCCTATGAATCTGGTGGATCTGCTTCCGATGACAACCCGAGCCAAGACCCCCATGTCACTTATGGACATTCATCTGGCTATTCACAGGGTCCATTATGCTTCCCCTGTTGACCTTGAATTAAAAGACCATTTCAAGTGATGTAGACCCCCAAAAAATGATCAATCCGATTGTCAACCAGATATATATATATATATATTATCAAAAATATCGAAGATTGGATATTATTCATCCTGATGGATATGTAGATGGATGGATATATACTATCAAAAATGCATAGTCCTCAGCTTATCATCCATCTACAAAAGTCAAAGCCGGTGGTATCGTAGTATCCAGCTGATCATCCCAAGACAGAATGGTCTACTGGGGGATAGATGATGATAGATGTATCTATATATATATATAGTATATATATAGTGTATATATAGTATAATATTATATATATAGTATAATATATTATATATATAGTACCCATGTAACCATGACGTGTCTATACTACCCACTTTGCTTTCAGGCTTTGGGACACCCTTGGGACACATGAAAGACCCCATCTCAACGCCCAAAGTTCTCCGATAAATTCCGCAAGACATCAAAATGACCGGAAAATCAGCAGAAAAGTGATGAACCAGTGACGAACCAATAGAAAATATTAGAAAATCGCTTTCCAAAAGTTAGAGACAAGCTCGAGCCACAAATCAAATCCAGCCAAGTCTCCCCGAGAGGTCTGAGATGGCGTTGCCAGTGGGATCCACCCGCGCAAAGATCTGGGGATGGTCACCAGTCAGCACGGCAGCACGGTTGGGAAGTCCCCAATCTCTGGGATAGAAACCATGCTATGATTGAGTAGATCAACTATTTCTATGTGCCATTTTGAATAGCTATGTTCAATTACCAGAGGGTATATTAACCCAAGCACTTCTATTCTATCCCAGTAAAACGGACCCCAGACGAAGAGATCCAGTAGCAAACCTGAGGCAAAGAGGAGTTGTTCTTGAGGGAAGAGAATAGATGTAGCTTGGTTTCCATGTCTCAACAACATCCCCAAATGGAACCTTGCGAGTCAGCTCGATCTCATCTTGTTTCAGCTTCACGATGGCGTTGGTGTCCTGAGGCGTGCTGCTTCAAGGGGCTGCTCTCCTTCGCAGCTGGTTTGATGTATGAAACCCTGGCGAATTTCATCTGATTCCATGGCAAGGAAGCAACTTTTTTTGAGTCCTTCAATCCAGTCATATCCAGTCTGTCACCAGCACTTCAACCAGATCACACTGCTGGCAGAGAGGCACTCGTGATGAACATCCCCCCAGCCCTTCATCGAAAATGGGCCGTTCTGTCCAGGAAGAACTACATAGTCACATAGTATCACATAGTCATATTATGTCAGATTCATCCCATGTTATCCAACCATGTTTGGTGTTTAAATTCCAAGCATGTTTTGGCCCCATGATGTCCCATGTTTTTCATGGCTCAACTGAGGTCCCGCACCAGGTGCTGATTGAAGCCCGCTTTCATGTCCAGCCCACTTCCACTTCCGTCTTGCGTCAGCAAGGCTCTGCGCCGCCGCACCTGGAAGAAGGGTTGGGAACATGCGGGAACCATGTGGGAACCATGTGGGGACTCTCTGTGTTTTCTTGGACTTCATATATGTGTTTTTCTGTGGTTTTGGTGTGTGTTTTTGGAGGTGTTGATATGTTTTCAGGTCCTTTTTTGGCGAGTTCTTCGTGTTTTGCCGGGGGCGAAAATGGTTCCCTCTGAGGATGTGACACCATCCACAAGCTCCTCCGAGAGCACCAAGGACAGCCCAAGCCCAAGATTTCTCTCATCACTCAGATCATACTCAAAAAAAATGGATAATTGATGATATTTGCCTATTGAATATCTACCTATTACATTATTTGCACATATATATATATATATACATAATTATACATATATACAGACATATACATATATATTCCGTTTGGAATATGCAAATACAGTCGATCTTGGCTTTCACTGTAGAATAACGAACTATATAAATGGTATGAAGAAACAACTACGCCACATTCATCAACACTAGTTGGTATGGAAAAAAATATCGCCATCGCTCCAAGTGCTTCATCCGAAATTGGATTGGCTCACTCCATAGCAAACCCCAAAAAGATGCCCTGTTCTGCATCTGGGGATTCCTAAAAAAAGGTCCAAATTCCGGGTCGGCACGGAAGGAAGATCCCAAAAATCCTTCCCGGTTAGGTAATAACATCTAATAACCCAGTTCTACATGGAGATTCCTGGGCCAAAAATCAAGGGGTCAAAAGCTAACCATTCAGAAGATCCTTGTAGCATCCGCTCCTGAAGTAGCGAATCAGCACTCCCACTCGCGCTCACCTCAAGGCCCATGGTCATCTCCGCTATCCAATGAGTTTTTAGTGAAAGCCCTGAAGTTCAAGAAATCTGCTCAACCAAAAACACTGGTTGGTGGGACCGAACAAGTTCCGCCGTTGCCTCACTTCAGCCCAGCCTTCGTTTCCTGCATCAGCAACTTCACTGGTGCTTCGGAAGCCTGAAACCGAGATGTGACAGCTGGGAAAAATGACAGGAAAACCCCATTCAATCCGCTCATGGATTTGCCTTTGAGACAATATGTTTGTATCCGGCATTTTCAGACACATTCATTTTAAAAAAATGTCGAGATGGCCTTCACATGCCTTCACTATGTCATCCACAATGGAGAGTTTACCAACTAAAAAATGGAAAGTTTACTACTAAAACTTGGTGTTACAATCTATGACTATATAGTTTTGAAGTGATCTGTTCTTTTCACAGGAAACCTACAGCATGGGTTCTGTACCATCCAAAAAAAAGACAACAAACAAGTCTGGGAAAACCTCACAAGTGAATGGCAATAGGTAAACAGACCAGATTTGCATACATACTCTCATGTATGGTACTTGTGGGAATGTGGGGTCGATGTTCTCCATCATCCCAAACGCAGGTTTACAGTCCAATAAACCACACCTTGATGGGTTTAGAATTCTCCCATAGTCATCCCATCCCATCGTTGGTCATGGATCCCGCAAATGTCTGAAAATCATCCACGGATGAAGCAGCCAACGCAAAAAAAAAACATCAAAACGGCCATGTATTGGAAGATAAATCCATATAAATCCCAATTTTCCCAGAAAAATTCAGGTTGCCGAGACGGTGCATTTTCTTCCGCTTTCCTATGCTTTCCTGCCTCATCCGGAGCCTCTCCAGCCTCATTCCGACCATCCAAAGGGGTGGAAATCCCAGGAGCGTTCCACTCAGATCACCATGAAAGGAAGAAGGGGCCACAAAGGGCCACATCCATCTTTTGTTCTTATGGTTCCTCCAAAAATAGTCATAAAGGAATCAACTCCATCTGGTTGGTGGTTGACCTACCCCTCTGAAAAATGATGGAGTTCGTCAATGGGAAGGATGACATCCCATGTATCATGGAAAATAAAAGTCATCTTTGAAACCACCAACCAGCCATAAAATATGAATAAGTACTGTGCAATTTTCCGAAAGAAACTTGGCTCCCGGCAGCACCACGGATGCTCCCTCTGAAGGTCCAGCAGCATCGAGGTCTGGCGCTGCTTAGCTATGGCTTAGCTATGGGAAATCTGTGGGTTTCCCTAGAGTAAAATTTGATTTGCTGCAAATGGTGGCTTTTCAATATGTTTTGGATTATTTTTGTATGTTCACTGGAGGGTAGTCTGGGTATATCATGGTAAATCCAAGTTGTAGCAACCCGTGAAACCGATATAATGACCCGAAATGATGGTTGGTCGATGACAGATCATATGGTGGTAAGCCTAAAACAAATAAAGCGGAAACCAACCCCAATGACTTACCAGTTCCATCTGTAGGATTGAAACCATCCCAAAATGGTGGGTCGTGGCATTGGATTTACCACGTTGACAAAGAGAATTGGGATTTGGCCAAGGTGACTGTGGATTCAAGCACGGATAGCTCCCAGTTCAATGGGGATGCTATCCTCGGTTTTAGAACATGGCAGTGGGAAGAAAAGCGATGCCTTCTGGGGAAAAGTCGTTCTTTGCCGGGGGGTTGTCGGTTGCCCAGTACATGTAAATAGAGGGTAGACCTCCAAAGTCAAGAGATTGACTCGCCAAAACTCTTTCACTTATTTCACTTTGCAAGGAAAACCACTGGTCAAGATATGTCAGTATCCCCCTTCTTTGGGTCCTTCTTTGGGATTTGGCGCACTGAACGAGAAGAATGAACCATCTGAAATCTTGTGGGATGCCCAGGTTCCTACAGCTATGCTAAGCTACAGCCATTGCCTCACTACATCCAAGGAAGGTTTGTATCTGCCAGTTTTCCCTGTGTTGGGAATGGATCAGAACCCTGGTTACCTAGTGAACATCCAAAACATGACCCAAATAGACTGCGCTGGGCCGTTCGCCAACCACTTTGGTGCTGCGGTGCTTGAGGTGTCCCCACCTTCCTTTTTTGTTCACACAGCGCGAACGGCTTCGAGCAGTTCAGGGTACCGGGATACAGCAGTCCACTTGTGTAAAGTTTCAAGTCGGATGTTTTGCCCAGGCTGTTCCTCCTGTAGAGAGGGGTATGTATGTACATAAGTGCGTGTATTGCAGGTCTTTTGCAAAATAAAACTCCCTGGCTTTACAGTTCATATGCGTTCATATGCTGCAACTTGGATGCATTCGACTGACAACATGAACCACTGCCCTGAACTCTGCCCCCAGACGTGTTGACTGGGATAGCTACGAAATACCTGGACATCGCAAAATTTGGACGTCCTTGGCAGCGATTTTGCTGCAACCATCTCGGATTCGCCATTGGGGAGGATGTGATTAGGTCCAGACGCTGAGGCCATTGAAGTCACCAATCATGAAACATTGCAGCATGATGTAGGAAGACATCATTCGATTTGCAGATGATGTTGAGTATGGCTGTGGTTCAATCTCATGAAGCTCAAAAACTGCTGTGTTCAAAGTGCGAAGCTAGATCTGCAGGTGCATCTGTTTTAAGTGGTTGACCTTTATCCAAGTTTTGCAAACGTCCCTCACGCTTGAATCCTCTACAACTTGCAGGAGTGAAACCACCGTGCCTCCCTTCACATAGAGACAGACAGAGGCTCCTTGTGGGATGCGTTTTACCCCATGAAACTGAGGATATGGCACAACGCCGACCACATGGCAACAACAGCACCAAATTTGAGACCAACTATCCGAGTGGAAGAAACTCTAGACAGGCTGGCTGCCCAACAAGTTTCATGGCTGCCAAGAACCACCAGGATGTACCATAAAGACACCAAACGTGAGGTTTGTTCTTTAAATATTCGAAGATTTACACATCTGCGTATGTCTCAAAAAAAATGTACCCCCTTTTTTTACCAAAAATCCAAGGGTTGATCACCATGTTCCTCATTCAAATGATCATAAACTGGAGTATATACAAACACATTCTGAAGGACACCTAGAATGTCTCAACATGATATAACCAAAAAAATGATGTTGAAAATTGAGAGACAGAACCATTCTTGTGGGTTCATGGCCCTCCATGGATTTTCTGGGCTCGTCCAGCCAAAAAACCTCTTTCTGAATGATGATGGCCCGGTGCGGTACGACCTCCTCCCGGAAGTCCTGGGCAAAAGAATGGTTCTTTAGGATACACCATTGTTAGTAACTGTTAGGAATATCAATGGAGTGTTAGTAAAATTCTAACCATGCAACTAACACCATTCATATCATCCAATATCAATGGATTGTTGGTGTGTGTAACTGTTAGGAAGTGGTTGATCCAATGGAAAAATCCTGGGCTTTTGCAGAGCTTTGTCCAGATCGCCAGGTAACCATCCCCAAATCCTCACTCCAATAGGCCCTCACTCCAATCATCATTACAATCATAACTGGAATCATGATATTCATCCCCTGAGAATCATCATAATTCATATAGTATAAAATCATAGTAATGTTCACCATTAGAAACAGCATCTATGATTAATATAGTATAATTATAGTAATGTTCACCATTAGAAAAAAAAATCACCTAATCCAACTATCGACTATGAGTATACGTGTTTAACTATTAAATGTAGCCCCAATATCAACCATCAACTATCAACTATCAACTCACCCAACTATCATCATTTGTCGGCATTGGTACATCAATGTAAATAACTATCGTTGTTCATCAGTACAAAACAATCCGTATTCTGATCAGTATATCCCCAGTATGTATCATTATGTAACCATGTTCCACTATAGTTATCATTATAGTCCTATTCTTATGAAAAATTCATAGTCATTATCAACTATCAACTATAAGTATCATGTAGTATAATCCTTTAACCCAATATACATCTTCAAAGCTCAGATTTTTTTTTCACCACTACTAACCACTATAAAACCTATGGTTCTGGGTAAATTAGAATATTTCACCAACCTGAATAGTTCGGCCAATTGGGGATGATTTCCCTAACATAAACCATGATTTCCAGGGTTCGGTCGTAGAATGAGGTCGTTATAATTTACCCAGATGGCCTTGTTCACCTCCGGAGCCATCAGCGCAGGCAGCGCCACGGCAATGGGCTGCGCAGGATCCCAGGGATCTCCTGGATGTGAAAGCGCGGTTATACGTGGGATATCATAAACATCATATTATGCCATTATGGTATAGATATACCATGTATAATATTACCCATTATAATATACCATGTATCATATACATTATATGTATTTATTATAGTATAGTATAGTATAGTATGGTATGGTATGGTATAGTATAGTAGAGTATAGTACAGATCTATAATTTTCATAAATCTATGATAGTTAATAGATCGAAAAAAGATAGTATATCATAAACATCAATCTATGGGATATCATAATTATAGTATAGATCTATTATCTATAATGGCATAATATGGGAAATCAATCTATTATTATAGTATAGATTTATGATTTTCCCATAGTATCTATAATGATCCCAACAAACATATCATAAACATCATATTATGCGGTTATAGAAAAAAGATCTATAAGTTTCCATATGGGATAACATGGGTAATATTATATACCATAATGTGGATATAACATGGGTAATATAATATTATGGGTATAACATGGGTAATATAATATTATGGGTATAAACAATATGGATATATTATGGTTCTGATATACATGTGTATATACATCTATAATGTATAGCAAATAGCAACCACATCATATTTATCTGATATATCTGATATTATCTGATCTTGTTATTGTTTATGATGGGTATTAAATATATATATATGATATTATTCATAATATTGACACATATCATATTTAGATTTATCTGATATATGTATAATGTATAGCAACTAGCAAGCCAAAAAAAAAAGATCGACAAAAAAATGTCAATATGAATATCACTGTTTCAGTTGGATTGTTATGATCTTTTTCGGGGTGCTATGTATATGTATATATAAACAAAGAAAATCAGCTAACATCATTATCCAATTGTCTATCATCAGATGGAACATGCAAAAATAACAGAATCAAGCCACAAAGAAGTGGCATAGTCTTCGTTTCATTATGATCGTCTAATGCAAATACCATCTGGTTATTCAACATAGCTATGGAAAATCCATTCTAAATGGAGGTTTATAGCTGGGGAAATCATCTGTTTCTATGGGCCATGTTCCAGTTCGCTATGTGAAATAACCAGAGGGTAACTAGGGGACCACTATCTATCACCAGGGAAACGTTATCTCTTTCCGAGAAACATATTGTTTTGATGGTGGCCGAAGGCGATCTGTGCATCCATATTTGATGGTGAGGCATGGAAGCAACAGGGCTGAAACCGCAGAGATCTACCTGGATGAGTATTCTCGGTTGTCAGTGGCTCATTGCTTATCAATGCTTATCATCAATACCCTTGGTGGCTGATTCGTACATCTATTAGAATCTATAGACGTAATTGAATATCAAGATATATCAAGTCTATCAAGTCTAAATCATTGAAACTCGGGGCCATAGATTCCAAGGATAGGCCCAGGCGTATCATTCCAATTTGTACTTCAACTACTGGCTGATGCGAAAATCAGTCAACACCTCAACACTCCCGAGGTCGCCTGAATTCAGTTGCCCTTCCAGATCCGCTCCAATCTGGGCGAAGGGTGGGATGCTCCAGTGATGATCAACTGGATTTGGGGATACCCGTCGCGTCAGAGGAATCCATGGCTGGGTCTGTGTCAGATTTAAGCGTTACCAACAAAACCCATGGTTTTTTGCAGGCCCATGGGGCCTGAAATTGTGACAACGATTTCGAAGAACTCATGGAAATTCCTCAAGAAACGCTATTCATGTTCTAGTTTTTTACCGCGTGGAACATAGAAGTTTCTACCATTTTCGAAAACAGCCATCCTGCAGAAGGGGATGCCCCGAGTTCCCCAGAGGGAAAACCTTTCAACCGTCCCAAAAGACACATTTTTCAGACCATTTGTTTATCTGTTTGGTGGTTTCAACCCCAAAAATATGCTTGTCAATTGGTGATCATCATCCCATTTCTATTGTTAGTTGAAAATATAGTATGTTTGAAACCGCCAACAGGCATCATCATTGGTTGTTATATTCACTATATCATATCCCATAATAGCCCCATGATAGTTGGCTAGATTCCCATTTTGTTTAACACCATCAGTCTCATCCCCGATTCATATTCCATTAATATTATCGTTATGGTTGGCCATATAAATCACCACCATTTCCAATATCAATCCCCATTAATTCCCATCACTGTAATCTCCACAGTTTGTTGGTTTCATCCATATGTTTTCTCGGGTCACTCACCATTTTGCTGCTCAATTTCCTCAACTCTTGCTGTTCAAATACCCATTTAGCTCGACTATTCTCCCATTTTTGTGGCTTAAATCCCCATTGGTTGTCGGTTCCTGCATTTCCTTACTTGTTGGTTAGATGCACTATTGGTTAGATCCCAATTCCCATATCAATTCCCATTAGTCACCATTTATCCCGCTGGTCAAAGCTCCATTTATAGACGATAATAGTTGGTTTTACATTCCCCAAAAAATATCCCCGTGATAGTGGGTCAAATCCCATTGTCAGTTACAGTCATTCCCTGTTAGCCGGTTAATTCCATTCTTGTTTGAATCCATGAATCACTACCCTCTGGTAATTTGTTACATAGCGAACTGGAAAATGGCCCATTTAGTTCGTGGATTTTCCCATTGACAATGGTGATTTTCCATAGTTATGTAAACGTTTACCAGAGGGTAAACCTCCATTTTCCTATGGTTTTCCTATTAAAAATGGTGATTTTCCACTAATCCCCCCGTTGTTTGGTTAAATCCCCATGGTTCGGCTGGCCGAAAGTCGTCACCGCACCGACCCCACCGCGCCTCTGCAGATGTGGTGTCCATCGCCTCATGCAGATCCACCAGGCCGCCGCGGCTGCAGCAGCCGTCCCAGCGAGGTACACCTGGCCGGGACGACGAAAAGGGCGGGGAAATCAGTGCGTGGCTATACAGGCAACGTTGGATGGGGGTAAATCTCAACTTTTCAGGGGTAAACCCCAACTTTGAAAAAGGGAGGAGGACCACACAGAAAGATGATGATATGATTTGTAGCATCAAAAATTCGGAAATGAACGCCATTTTGGTGGTATATCACCTATCAGAATGGATACCACAACGGCCCATGTCCAAATCAAGCATGGTGCATCACTTTCTGAGCTGCTGAGATGCCTGTTTTCAAACATATGAACACATTAAATATATAACTGGTCCCCGTTTAAAAAAAAATGAGAATACCTCTCTCCGAATTCCCATCAATGAAGGTTTCTGCCCCCGGCGCCTGATCCGCAGCAGGTGTCCAAGGTTTCAGCCTTTCCTCAGCTGATTTCACCAGAAATTTCCAGAGAATGTGGTGAGAACACACAAATGTTGTAACAGAACAACCAACCACATTCCAGCCTCATATTTGATTCGAATCAGATGAATCAAAGACGCCTTGGGTTTTTCCACAGGCACGCGCTGGAGCTGCACCTTTTCTCAACTCTTCGCCACAAATTGGGGACACTGCATTGGCAGTTTGACATTTGGCCAGGTTCGTGCTGCGCACGAGAGCGGTAGGCATCGAGGGGGATGAATTGGACATGCAACTTCAATCTATCGCACTTCAGGCCAGGTGGTAAAAACCCTACAAAGCAGGGAAGCAGCTCAAGCTAGTCGATTTTTCTCGCGAGCTTGCTGCTGATTTGGTCGATGACAGTAGGGTTGGAAGGGCATCTTCTTCTGGCAGGCTGTCATTCAAGATCCTCAAAGCCAGCTGCTTGCTGCCATGGTGTGTGCCAGTCCCAATATCCCAATTGGCCCATTACGATCCACAAATGCAGGGGACCCAGGCCTCAAAGGCCTGGAGCTACAGCTCCAGTTGTCAATTCTAATTGATACCAACTGAAGAAAAAACCTCCAGCATCCACCAAAAAACAAACAAAACCCATACAAAACCAACAATGCATTGTAGTTGCAAAGAAAGGCTCCTGAGCAACTTACCGAAATCCACTTCAAAGTTCTGGTGGGCAACGATTAAGCAATCCTTGGTTGACCAATCGACCCACAGCATGGATACTGCAGTGATATCCAACAGATCCAGTGAATAGACCTCTCGTTTCCGAAACGGCCCGCTCCACCTAAATCGTCGAACAGTGATTCGAGAGTCAATAAACAATGTTTCTCTCGAATGTTCAAAATGTGTTTTTCCTTTCTCCCAGGCACCCTCAACCCTCTAGACCCATCCAAACCGCTTCCCCAAAACATCGCACGACGTCACGACATGACACCCGGATGGATTTCCTGACGAAGCCGTTGGTGGCATGAAAACCACCAGGCATTTGCTCCACCAAACTTTGGATCATCGCCTGGTCCTTCGGGTCAGTCGCTGTTGCATCCCTTAAATCCAGGCTGGCTAAACCTCGGTGCTGCGGAAGCGGCTTGGTCATTGGGGCACCCCGAAATCTGCTAGTCATGGATTTTCCCGGCGATTTGATGGCCGGATGTTGGGGATAAATCCACCGTTTTCAAACAAACCCAGATAGAGATGTGCATTGATATGACAAGTCTTTGATGATTTTTGTTTTCTTGGCTTGTGGGTTTTTGCTCCTTTGGGTTTTGATAGCGACAATAGAAAAGGTGGGACGGTCTGCATGCCTGATTCCCCAACTGGTGTATAATGTGTGTGGATCCTGAAACTCAAAGTATATGTACGGTTTGACATAGTTGTGAAATAAAAGAAAGCAGCCAAACAAATAAGTTCGTGCAAAGTCTGGCACTCAAGCAATGTTCAATTTCTGTCATCCCCCTATACTGCTTGGTTGAGAACCGGATTCCCATTATGGTTGCATTCAATATCCGCAACAAACCAGGTAGGTTAATAAACCCCCCAAGTCAAAACGGATCAACCATTGATGGTTCTGTCCATGATAGTTCAATCCCGCTTGGTTGATACTTTCGATGGCCCATTCGATGAATATCAACCAGGCGCAATAAGGCCGAGCAACACGTGGCCACCTTCATGGCGATTTCAATGCCACCTTGACCGCTCCGAAGGACTCCACCTCAGTGAACAACTGACGTCCTGTGAAGCCTCCTGGTCCGGCCAAATCATGTACGTATATATATATATATATATATGTGTGTGTATTATATTATATTATATTATATTATATTATATTATATTATATCATATATTATATTATATAATATAATATTATATCATATTATATTATATTATATCATATTATATTATATCATATTATATTATATTATATTGAATTATATTATATCATATCATATAATGTTATCTTTTATTACATTACATTACAGTACAGTATATTATATTATAGTATATTATATTATATTATATCATATTATATTATATTAAATAATATTATATCATATTATATTATATCATATTATATCATATTATATTATATCATATTATATTATATTATATTGAATTATATTATATCATATCATATAATGTTATCTTTTATTACATTACATTACAGTACAGTATATTATATTATATTATACTATATTATATTATATTATATCATATTATATTATATTATTTTATATTATATCATATTATATTATATTATTTTATATTATATCATATTATATCATATTATATTGAATTATATTATATCATATCATATAATGTTATCTTTTATTACATTACATTACAGTACAGTATATTATATTATATTATACTATATTATATTATATTATATTATATTATAGTATAGTATATTATATCATATATATTTATTCTTATAGGTTTATTATGATATAATATTACATATAATATTAAATTCAACATTATATTTATATGTATATTATAGATAATCATCTATTATATATATTATACAGCCATAGTAACCCCCAAAAAGAAAACCTTTAGATATTTAATACAGTTATTGTATGCGTATAAGTGTACAACATTGTACAACCGTATAATCCAAATTGGGATAGTTTACTATTGGTTTTACCTCATTGCTGTAAAATACTTGTCCCTTATTGACAAGTCAAGGGACTGGAGGTACAAAGAAGAAGACCTTGGAAGCTTTCCCTCGCACGCTCACTCGCAATGAGTTTGGTTTGAAGAAGCTCAAACAAACACCATGCCCTCCGCAATGGAAGTGCCTGTTCATCCAGGACCATGACCTTGGAGACAACCGGTGGGATTCAACGTGTACAGTTGATCACTCCATTTATACTGGCTGGCTGAGCGGACTTCATTAAGATATATAAGCTAGTGTGGCCACATGTATCGTCAATCAACAGGGGTTTTGAATACTGCTTATTTGGAGCACTCCTCAAACGGAAACTTGTCAAGTTTGCCAAGCAGCTGTCCCCTCACAGGTTTCACTGCGCAGCGACTTATAGAAGGAAGATTGCCGATAGTCACCACGTCCAAGTTCAGCTTCCACCTACCCAAGTCGAAAAGAAAATCAGAGCTCCCTCTGATGTGTGGAAGATGTCTTAGGGATGACCCAAGTGTTGAGATCGAAAGGATCACGATCCGGCCATGATTCATGCACTACACTGCTAAATTACCCTCTGGTTATGTCAAAATAGCTATTGAAAATGGCCATTTATAGTGAGTTGTCCCATTAAAAATGGTGATTGTCCATAGCTATGTTAAATTACCAGAGGGTACGTTCAAGAACACCAATGAAGTTTGCGTTTTAGTGCCAAAGGTGACCCATTCGATGCGGCTCGTTGTAGAAAGCAGCGGCAACTGTGAGACCCTGCACAAGTTTTTGGGGCCGACATGCGCATAGAAGTCATACATGTAAATTCCCCTACAAATGGGTGAGCCAAAGTAGATAGAAATAGTCAAATAAGAATACCATCATAGGAAGATCTATTCGGAACAGGTACAGATACTCTGACAACTGCAATGGTTGTTCAGTAAGCTTACATCTGTTTGCATCCATGAGGGGCAAGTGGCTACCTTGCACCATGAAGCCTTTAACAGTTTAGCCAACCACCTGTCCAAGCATGTTGTTGAACGGTGATTGAAAGCATAGTGCCTCCCTACAAAGCCACTGACAAAGACCATGCAACCTTCAAAAGCATGCAAACACATTGCAGCCCAAACATGCCCTAACTCCCCAAGTGAAGCCATACATGTCCGAACAGCATCGTCTGCCCTACCTCCCATTGATTGTTGCTGAAGGTGCAAATCCAATAGGCAGTGCTATGCCACTCCACTGCTCCATCGGACTTCGCATGATTTCGGACAGCAGCGACAAACTCCTGGAAAGGAGTGCCTTGATGGGCCAGCAACGGACCCAAAAACCAGATCACCAACAACATCCATGGTGGGGATCAGCATCAAAAAGCTGCAGCCTTTTGGCTTAGCCAAGATACCCCAGTAGTGGCTCACGAACCAATTCACCTTGTTGGGACCTACAAGCTCTGCATAAGAGACTTTGCAATCCTCTGTGAGTGGAATGATCAAGTTGGAGCAGATGTAATACATGCTGCGATCTTTGATGAAGGCCTGGAAGAACTCATAGAGCCATCCAACTTGTCCTGAAAAGATGGGATCATCCCAACACAGCCATGGCTCAAAGGACTGAGCAACGACTGGTTCAAAAAGTTACCCCACTGGGCCATGGCGCCACTAGCCGGAACCCCAACTGACCAGCCTCATATATCCCTGTTTTTGACACTGACCACAGTAAGACGGAACATATTATAAATATGTTCACCCAAGAAAATCTGGTTCGAGCTCAGCGTCCAATGGTGATGGCTCGTTCAGGTCCTCTGGGGCACCTTTTCAGCGGACGTGTCTTCTGCAGCTCTTCCATTTGCTCTTTGAAGCGCTTATGCTTTCGGGCCAGAAGAGTCCTGGAGGCCGTTCCCTGTGCCCTGGGCTCCTTGAAGGCAGAGCCACCCTTATTTTGATGTTTTGAATTTTTGAACGAATCAATGCGGCAAAGCTCTGTCAAAAAAAACAATCATCCACTGTTTCGCACCGCTGCTACTGAGGAGTCCCAAGCGAATATCTGATACACAAAAAGGTGATCCTGCCAAAGCCAATGAGCTTTGTGCAAGAAACATCCTATTCCTCATCTTTGTTAAAACACAAGTCACTCAAGAAGGTGTTGTGCTGCTTAGACTTGACCCACAAAGCTCTTGGCTCAGGTCCTGCTGCTGATCCAATAAAAGCCAAGCCATAGAGCAAAGCTGCTGAGCACAGCCAAGCCCACGGCCAGCAGCAGCATCCGCGGAAGGAGTTGATGGCCCAAGACAACCACAGGGGTCAGCAGAAAGATTAACCAAAGGATGGAAGGGATCCGAAGGAACCCCGCACGGAGTAACGCTGAAGGAAAATGAATGCGCAACGATCCGATGGTGGTGTCCCATGGTCCCACAGTTTCCTTGGAGTTGACAAACATGTCAATCCACCAAACAGGTTCTGGTTAACTTTGGGAGTGCAAAGGTAATGAATGGGATTTGCCAATCAGAAAAAATGCAAATCATCTGATTGAAAAACCATGAAGTACGATTGCTTATTCGCGCGACCAAGAAAAGAAACAACGGTCGTCTTTATCGACTCCAATCCGCTTCATCCCCAAGTTTACCATAAATGAGTGGTCCACAACATCCATATGGGTTAAAGTGTAAAACATCAAAATATGGGTGGTAACAATTATTGCTTCATTAAGCTCCAAGAAAAATCTGAATGAAAGTTGGGTCTCAGCATGGATCAACTGCAAGTCGCTTCCTGCGGTGAAGCAACCCCCAAGGTACCCCCATGGCTTGGACAATCTGATTCAGGTGGTTCCAACATGTTTCACTGGACTTATTTTCATCATGGTTCACTGCTGGTTGGTGGTTTTAACAATCTTGAAAAATATGAAAGTCAATGGGAAAGATTATCCCATATATTATGGAAAATAAAAACTGTTCCAAACCACCAACCAGACTGAAAAGTTTGGACTGTTGATGAATCCAAAAAGAAAGCCTCGACCATTGATGACCATTGTAGCCTCTGGCAACATAGCTATGGAAAATCACAATCTTTAACTTTAGCAGGCATGTCATCATACATCATCGAAGTACTGTAAATGGGGCATCTATACCATAGCTATGTTAAATCACCGGAGGCTGATTGCAAAGAAACGGAAGAGTTTCCTCCACTTGTTCCAGTTCTTTCACCTGTACCCTCTAGCAATTTGTTACATAGCTATTGAACATGAACATAGAAATAGTGGATTTTCCCATTGAAAATGGTGGATCTCCCATCGTTTTTTGTATGTTTACCAGAGGGTAACAAACTCCCTGCGCCTGAGAGTGCCCGAGCTCTGTAAGGCCTCCGTATCTGGAGATCCTCCAGAGGCCCGCTGCGGGTGTCTCGCAGGGTGACCCAGGCGCCCTGGGCGCCCTGCGTCCGCAACAGGCCATGTGGCCGGCTGGTGGTTACCACAAGAGCATCGCCCTGCAGGGGTGAAGCATGGAAATCTCAAAGTCATTGGGTGCAAAAATGGTGGAAATCCCATGAAATCCCAAACTCATCCGAATTCTCTGATTCAAACTTTGATCAAACCTGCTAAAACCCCTTAGATCCACGGAATGCACGTTGAAAGGTGAAAGCTCACTGGATGACATCTCACCAAACCACACCAGGCGAATTCCCCCGCGACCTGCAAGCTAAGGTCTTCAATGTGCAATTGGTAAAAGCACAGCCATCCAGTGAGAGTCAATGCTGCAATGAGGCACAAAGCCATCATCACCCCGAAGAAAAGGTTCGTCATGCTGGCATGGCAGGTCACCCTCTTGGCGTCTGCATACGCCAGCAAAAAGGAAGCAACACATGGTTCACACTCGCTACGACCTGCGGTTGAGATCATATTGCTCGGACACTGGCGGCAAACCTTCCCTTCATGAGCATAGGTACCAGCCACACATTGTTTACAAGTTGGGTTTCCCCAATCTTCTGCGACCCAGCCCTCTTGACATGCTGTGCACTCAGCGGCGCCCATGTCCGAATAGGTCCCAGGCGCACAGCGGCCGCACTCATGGCTACCAGCTGCTGCATAGCTTCCAGCATGACAACGATCGCATTGGCTGTTTCCCACGGTGGCAGAGAAGTGGCCAGCGGCGCAGCGTTCACAGCTGGAACTACCGGGGCCAGCCATGGTGCCGGGCAAGCATGGAGAACAACGTGCCCCGTGTACTGAGGAAGAGCCTGGGGCACAGGAGAAAAACAACACATGGACACATGGCAATAATTCCTAGATCAACCCACTACAAAATCATGGGTTTGCTTAAAACTCTACTCAACCACTGGTCATCACAGAACGAGTTGTTTGAGCCCCCTGTTTCCATTTGCAAACAGCCTGCCCCCGCCTGCTGAGCATGGCTGGCAGTGGCCCAAAGCCACTTCCATTGTCACAACCTCTTCAAAGCCGTCGGAACATCTTCCAGACTCACAGTTCACCTTCCCCACAGCATCCACACCGCCGAAGGTGTCTTCATTACCTGGAAACATTGTGGCTGCGGAACAAAGTACAGCGAGGAGAATTTCGGCTGGAACCTGCTGTGTGAACATCTTTCAACATCCAAAGAAGCTGTCTATGTTGGAACTCTTGTGGAAAAACCTTTTGGATTCGCCCAGCTGCAAAGGCAGGAGCCATCTCCTCTCATCAATGGTCGAGTTGAGTTGGAAACATTCGACTGGTGCTGGGCCAAGAGGTCATCACGGCAAATACCACGTCCAGAGCCTCGGACGCGTCAGGCTGTGGCATCCCCTATGGTTCTCTTCAACTCGAGTCATAACCAAACATGCTGCTGTCCAACAGACCCATGTTTCAAAAACTTGCTGCATCAAAGAAACATGTGACTCCACGTTGGTCTGTAGCACAGGCCTGGCATTGTCCTTCCGCCGAAGCAAAGCCTGGGCGGCATCCAGAGCAATCATCCAAGTGATGTCCACCCACGCAGTCGCAAACTCCACGGAGGTTCCAGCATTGCCCATGCCTTGGAAGGCAGTGCAGCGGGCTTTTTGATGGGGGAAAATGTGGGTCAAGACATCATGACATCTGAAAAAAATGCCAGAAATAAAGCAAGAGAAACAGGGCATCCGAATTCTCTGTGAAAGTGTTCATGTCTTGGATGTCTAGTCCTCCCCAAAACGGAAAAGACATATTGACATCTCAAAACTCCATCTGGCTGCCCGCTGCACTGTCGTGAAGGCAAGCAAAAGCCTTGGCTCCAAAACCGCGGCCGCCGAGTCTCGGTGATCGGGGTGCCCAGGAAACTCAGGATGTTGCCCTCTCTCCACAGATCGAAGGAATAGATTCTCGGTCCACCTGGCAAGGCATGGCAAGGCTGTGGTTTCCCCCCATAAAAATAGCCAGTAAATGCGGAGACTGAGGATTAACCCTTATGGATTTGGGGATATATTTCAAGACAAACCCATGTCAGCATGCAAACACACTGAAGGTATGAAATAACCTAGATTCAGCCTCGAATGTTCAATGCCAACCAACCACCAAGGTCATTCGTTCAAGGAACCCCTACGGAAACCACTGTTCAAGCATGAGTTTGCGAATGTTTTGTTGGCCATGTCACTTTTCTCATATTCGGAGGCCCATTCGAGGCACTCAAAGTTGCTGCTACATTTTAAGGCGTCTCCTTCTCGCTCGCAGGCATTGATCTGCATGCTTTTATTGAGGCGGATGAGGTCGAGGTCTCCATCCCCGTCGCAGTCCATCAACCGCCACTGAAGATCAGACGCTGCGCTCGTGGGAAGAGCAGTGAAGGGATTTTCTTCAGCTGGCACCTCGATCAACGACGTCTCCTAGCCGTCTTCAGGGCTAGCACTCTGAGCCCTTTACACCTCAAACAAAGTGTTGAGTTTCATTGTTGACCAACAACAGATTCAACATTTTGTGTACCACCTGGCCCTTGCAGGAGCACAAAAACACCAGACCAAACCTGTTTCAGCCCCCCCAATCGCCCAATCCTTCTCGGTTTCGCCGGTTCCATGTCTGCGAAAGAAGCGCCCCTCGGGCGCCAGGATCAGATCTGTCAACCCATCATCATCCCAGTCGACTGCAATGGGTTGAGAGGGGACACCCACCACGCTCTCGTGCCTTGGTGTACCCGTGCTGGATGTGCCATCTGTCGTGGAACTTCTTGATGTGTCCGTGATGATCTCTGCGTACAAATCACAAATAAATAACGAACGGGACCTTAACCTGCTCAGAAATATTAAATAGTTACATTTAATCTGGGTTTCATGGGCAACTTCTTAGAGGGACATGCTGAATTGACAGATTCCTGCTTTTTGAGCCTTTTCTCTCCAAATGAGCGTAATTGCACTAGTCTTGGCATGTTTTCAATTTGCGCTTTTTGAATCTGTTTGAAGTGAGAATTCTGAGCATGTGTTTCAACTAATGTATATTAATATATAATACTCGGTAGAAATGCATAAATTCACGTCCGTCACTACATGCAACTGAGCGTAAAGAGTCAGAATGAGTTTACGTTCAACCGTAAACTGCTACAAGCAAAAAGTGCACATTGAAGATCCTGGTTTGTGAATCTAACCACTCACCGAAATGAACAAAGATGCAAGAAAGTGGCAGATAGTCAACGGCACAGGGCATTCTCACTGCCAAGCCATCGATTTGAGATAGGGCAAAATCATGAGAGAGCACAGCCTTTCCACCTGGCCGGTTCAATCTTTCTACCAGCACTAGAATCACTAGAAGCAATTGGCTCATCCCAGACTGCGGGGGCTGTTGAAAGAACCCATTGCCGCCTTGATTCTCATAGAAGCTCATGTTGACCCAAGAAATCACAATCAAGTCCAGCCGTCCGTCTCCGTTCCAATCCGCGACGCTGATTCGGCAATTCTCTCCTTTTCACCGTGGGCCAAAAACCAAGACAAAGTCATTGAATGCCTGTACATTGATGATTGATCGTAGTTTTGACTAGTGACTAGTGAATAGGATTGGGCCTTTACGTGGATATGAAATATCATGAAATATCACTATCACTCAATCATCGACATGGAGCGACGGATCAAAAATCAACAAAACATTTACTTCAGATGGATCGAAAACTTCTAATCCCTCACCCTGGCAACAGAGCACTGCATGAATTATTATGAATTCAGATGCTTGGACCAGATGCAGCACAGCAATGGAACGCCATCTCGGGATGGTGAGATTTCAACGCACATTTGGACGAAGGCTCACGCGAAGAAGGCGCAAAGGATCGCGCACGTTGCAACGCGGCTGGTATGAGGTTTTCTGCGCACGTACGAAACGTTGGCAGGAGTCAATCAAACTGCAACTCCGACTTGTGCAACCCTTACAGGACTGTATGGCTGCTTGTGCGGAGCTCGACGTGTTGGACAGCACTTTTGCTTCTTTCATGTGGACAGCATGTTCCGTAACAGGTGTACCCTCTGGTAATTTAACATAGCTATTGAAAGATCAACCCATTTTTAATGGGAAAATCCACTATTTCTATGGTCATTTTCAATAGCTATTTTGACATAACCAGAGGGTTTCAAACATCGCTGGACGGTCACCAATCCTCAGGACCAAAGGTTAAAGGGACCAAGAGTTCAGCGAACGAAGGATGGAAGCATTCGGCAGCTATCGAATAGCGCATCTACCCTCTGGTAATTTAACGGTTTGCTATTGAAAATGACCATTAATAGTGGATTTTCCCATTAAAAATGGGTGGATCTTTCAATAGCTATGTTAAATTACCAGAGGGTAAAATATGTGCGTTGATGGGAAGAATACATAAAAAAATACAGCTGTTTCATGCAGCTTCATCCCCAATTTGTCAATTTTGACCCAGTCCCCAAATTTCAGCAGCGCCTGCATCAACGTCCTCAAAAGCACTCAGGTTTTGCCTTAAGCTGCCATCTTCTTGGCCCTGAAAATAGCGAACTGCCGGTCCATCCTTGGCGTGGGTATAGCATTTTCGAGGTTCGTCCCACAGCAGCTCCTCAGCCTGGACACCATTGCATTGAGCACGGGATAGAAGCAAGTCCTTGAGGCCATCCTGATTCCAATCAACCCAATGCACTTCATCTCCCAGAAGATCCAGATCCAAAAAAGGATTGGTCGGATTCGCTGAGATGCGGTGTTCCACCAGCATCTGGAGCCTGACATGCACGAGTTCAGAGACAACACGCGGCAGTCATCCCATGACCCCATCTGCCAGAGGTTCACTAAGCCATCACCGTCCAAATCGGCCAGGTAGTTTCTGCCAGGGCCTGTGTACCTGTTCTGCATCGAAAAGAGACCGCGGAAGGGATTCTCCACTTGTTCTCGAAAACTACCATCTGAGAGTTGTTCAATCAAGAACAAGCCAGCATCATCGGAGCGGGCCACCAAAAGGTCTGAATCGCCATCACCGTCCCAATCTTCCACTGCCCAAAGGTGATGACTCTCCAAAATGTGCAGTGGGTTCTTTACACCTGTTCTCTCCTCAACTTTGGACTTCTCTCCGCTTTCTATCCTCTCAAAGTAGCGGTTGTCAACAATCAGGTCCACATCCCCATCCGAATCAAAGTCCAGGGCCTTCAGGAATCTGCATGATGACAGATTCCCCACGATCTCGTGGCTGTAGCCAAAGCTGTCCTGCCCATTCATCATGAGAATGACATGCTCAGAACAGATCAGCAAGTCAAGGGAACCATCATTGTTCCAGTCCACCGCAGCAAAGTTGGAAACTTGGCCAGTCCAATTCAGTAAGCTGATTTGCGAGAAGCTGGGCCTTCCGTCAGGCGATAGCTCTTCGAGTTGCTTGAACAAGACGATCTCGTTCCTTAGCGGAAGCCCGTGTCCTCTCTATGACTTAACAAAGCATTCAGTTTCTTGGGCGTTTTTTGGCCGCTAAGATGGTGAATCATGGTGTAGAAGCTCACTGGATTGGTGCTTCCAACGATGCCTACCACCCTCTCGGTGGTTTTTTCGGGAGAATGCCCAGAAGCAAAGGGTGAAACATAGCTGTTTCAGCCCCACCTGACCACCTAGCGATTTTCTTTCCAAGCTTCGTAGAGTTCTCCTGCCACGGAGTTCGGAGCTGCAGCACATCTACCCTGCCGTCCTTGTCCCAGTCAACGAAAGCCACGAGGGCATCGAAATAGTTCTCTTCGGTGCGCCAGGGGCAGTTACTCCCACTGCGCGATTCCCAGTCCCATTGATGAGTTAAGAGGTGAAGTTCACCCTTGCAGGCATCGTTCTTGGGCAATTGGCACCAAGTGGTCGAAGCCAACACGCACGGGAGGCACCATGGCCAGTGTATCCATGGAATCCATGGCATGAGGAGGTTGAAATGTGGCTGTTAAGACATCCAGCAACAACTCATGGAGTCTCTTGTAGAGGGTTCAGTATGAACTGTGATCAATCGAACTTATTTGTCAAGAAAGCGGGGGTTGCTGGAAGGCATGGAATGGGGATGCCCTTCCAAGGTTGCAAACGCATGGTCATCTCATTCCACTGAGGTGACAGGAAGCAAATCTGGTAAGAATTGCTGTAGGTGGAAGTATCATAAGAACTGCCATTGATACCTGGTGAAGCCAATACTTGTAGCTGACTGACAGCTTTCCCGCAGAGATGGAACTTTGGCACCAGAAAGAGATTATGGCTGATCTGAAGGCGTGATGTTGACGATTCATCGGTTAAAGTACGGCGATTCTTGGACAAATGCGGGCATCGCTCAAAACAGGGGCAATCATAGACAGCCATTATATCACCATAGTTATTTAACTCACCATAGATAGCCATTATATCCTACTTATAACTCGGGGTGCAGTTCCATTTATAAGTAGGATATATCACCATAGTTATAGGGATTGTATCCCAGCTTATGGAGGTGATGACCAGGATTATACCCATGAAAGTCAGCCCAACTGCACCTCCAAGTATGGTTGAATCCCATTAAATCACATTAAACCCCTATTGTTGCTAGTTTAATCCCATTAAATCCCTATTAAATAGGCTAATTCCCATGAAACCCCACTTAATCCCATTAAAATCCTTACTATTGTTGGTTGAATTCCATCAAAAACTCCGCGAAATCTTCCAACCTTCACCCCTTTCGCCTTTCGCACCAAGTCACCCGCTTCCCTCGGCCGCTGCCCGGGTTGTCCCGGCCACGGCGCCGGCGCCGTGGGCGTGGCGGTGCGCGGGCGCAGGGTGAAGGCCCAGGCAGGGACCCTGGGCATGGAGATTTGATCAGTAGGAATGATGGTAATCTCCATCATTAGAATCATCTTTCTTGGAAAATCATTGTTATTCCCAAGAATTTTTGATCATTAGAATCACTTTCCAAGATTAGAATCACTGGGAATGATGGTAATGATTGTAATGATAGGATCTTGGAACAAAAGTAGATAATTTATCCAAAAGATGTTGATTTGCCAACTCAAATAGACTACAAATGTTTTTTACTAGAAAGACTGGTGGATTGAAGTTGTTGACTCGTGGTTGCAATCAAAGGTGGCTTTCTGTCTTTCTGTGGAAAAAAACATGATAAAGGGGATAAACCTAGGGGAAAAGCATCCATGGGAGATTCTGATTGATGGATGTTCCAACCAGAGCCCTATACCTGGCCTCAGGTCCTGGAAAATGTAGTCGGGCAAGGAGAAGAAATGGGTGGCCGGCATCACCAGGTAATTCATGTCCTGATCTAATCCCCGGAGTTCCCCCAGGGAAACCAACAGTGACTGTTGGCACACCCTGAGTGCAGTTTTTCGGGTACTAAGATGGCCTATTTGAATCTATTTGATGCATACCGAAAATAAACCACTACTGCAATCTGAGGAATTTGCCCTGCAAAAGAGAGCTCCAAAACTGAATGAAATTAAAATCGATCAAAACCTTGAAAAAATGTCGGGACTCTTCAGCTTAAGAAGAAACACAAATCTGAGAGACTCTTGGCTGGAACGCCCCATAAGCTGAAGAGCCTGGACTTTTTTGGGATATTTTCTCGTCGGGATGGCTTCGCCAATGCCTATGCCGCTCGACCGCTTTCACTGGGAAGGGGGCATGCGGCTTGGCAAAGCTTCCTACACCAATGCTTTCGCAACAAGAGATGGAGTTCCACTGTGTCTGAATCGCATCCGAAACACCAGGTACTCAAACACATTTCCAGATCGGATCTTTATGCTTTTTTCATGGCTTTTCTCCAAGCATCATTCATGAGGTTGGTGTTGTGCATCATGCTGGGAGGCGAGACCAACAATTTCCGCGTGGCGATCAGCTCGAAGAGCTGCTCGGCGTGGCGGTAGCTGATCATATCATCCGCCTTGCCGTGGATCAACAGCACCGGACAGCGCACCTTTCGGATCAGCTCGCTGTTGGGATACCTGGGACGGACGCTGGTTGTCTGGTGAAAAGGGCTGTTGTTTAGCCCTGAAGAAAATGCTTTTTGAATGAGAATGAATGAAATGATGATGGTTCAGTATCGAATTTGGGGAGAATCTATTTTCAGACAAACTCGAATGGGTGTGGCTAACCCAAAATAGGGTACCCTCGACCCTCAAAGGGACCCACAAAGTTGGCTTTCGGTGGATTGATATGGGAAATCATGTTTGTTTCACCATCAAATACTGGGGCACCCTAGAAAATTGTCCCTTCATCAAATTGTGGGAAAGTTGGGGAAGTTGGGAAAGTCGAGAATGGGGCAAAAAGTCAGACAGGGGAACATGAAAGTAGAACTGCGTCACCCTTAACATAGATTATATTTTTCTAGTTCCACCCCAGCTATGTTTTTGCAAAATAAAACGCAAAGTCTTCCCACAAAAGCCTCGTTTGATCCTCCCCAACGTCACCACAAAACGTTGTGTTTCACCGGGGCACCATTCCTCCACCAGCTTCGAGAACGGTCCCACGCGATCCTTAAAGAGCTCCCCAATGGACATGAAGGGCGTGACCAGGATAACCCCAGCGAAGCGGAAGAGGCTGGTGAGTTTGATGGCCGGGCCCGTCCCTATGGATCTGCCGCAGATCAAGATGCTGTCCACCGGCCAGCAGAGGCCTCAGAATTTTCAATGAGAAGGGCGTGATACCGCAGATTGTTAAAAGGGGGAGATAGACCTCGCCATGTAAGATTGCTGATGGTTCTCAACCGAGGAGTAAGGTCACGGGTTGGTGGACCACTTGTTGCTGTTCGAGAGCTTAGAGGCTTAGAGCCTATCTTATTCTTGCTTAGGACCTTTACCCAACTAATCATCACCCCCAAAACATCACTGCCACCATCACTATCATCACTATCATCATCATCGTCATCGTCATCATCGTCATCATCGTCATCATCGTCGTCATCATCATCATCATCATCGTCATCGTCGTCGTCGTCAAGGTCATCATCGTCGTCATCAAGGTCATCATCGTCGTCATCGTCGTCATCGTCATCATCATCATCATCATCATCATCATCGTCATCGTCGTCGTCGTCGTCGTCGTCGTCGTCATCAAGGTCATCATCGTCGTCATCGTCGTCATCATCATCATCATGATCATCGTCGTCGTCATCAAGGTCATCATCGTCGTCATCATCAAAATCCAAAAACCCAACTCTCATTCTTCTGCTTTAGAAAAAGAAAAAAGGAAAAAACATGGCATCCGCGCCGCCGGACTTGATCCACAGTGGCCATTTCAATGGTGGAAATGATGATGAACCAATGACAGTGACAGGGGTGTCTTCCCTAAATGTCCAAACACATCCCAAGTCATCCTCTCCAAATCAATATTGAACCCATTCCTTCCGTCGCTTTACTCATCCATTTCCCCATTCAATTGCCATATTTTGCAGCTGCACTCATTCAAGATGGTACTGTATATCCCACGTTCATCCTCACTGCCAGACTTGGAGAACGAAAAGTATATAGGAAACGCCTCTATTTGGGTTTTCAAACACCCCCCCAGAACTTCACAAATCCTTAACTATCATGCTGTCGGGAAACTCCATGCGTAGCTCACAAAGCTCCCCGTGGCTTTTCTTGGGGAAACTCTGGATAGGGTACACCATCCATTGGTTAATAATCCTTTTCCCCATGAACAATTGATCCCATGAACAATTGCTATACATCTCCATATGTTTTTCGGTTCAAGTGATGATTCACCAAATGGAATCCCACCTTTTTCTCCATCTTTTTATCATCCTCCAAGCCACTCTGCGTGGCGAAGTGCAAGGCACTGAAGGCGTTCTCCATGACGCTGGGCCCTGTGGCCACCCCCGGGCAGACCCCGTAGCCGGGATATTCCACGGCCAGGACATGCACCTGAAAGCGATCCCGCAGCTGGCAGCAGAAACTGTAGCTGCGGCCAAGGTCCTCCGCGTTGCCTTAACGGAATGGATGGGATGGAACCCATAGGACCCATGGTGCTGGTATATATGCTAACATTTGGGGTATATTGATGGTAAATGTTACCATATATATCCATATATGGCATACATGGATCCTATGGGGAATGACTTGGAGATGTTTGTTGATGGACTTAGATAGGGATACTGATAGTGATGTAGGACCAACAAAAACACAAGGTATGACTTAAGACCTGTCTTTAAAACCAACAAAAAACAGGATCTTACTTTGAGATATATTGTTTAACCAACAAACATGCGATTTGAGATTTGAGAGGGGATGATGCTCCGCAGAGACTTTTTACACATTTCTCAGAGCAGAAAGTGTCAAAAAGGCTTCAAGTGATATTCGAGTAAAAAAATACTAGAAGCTCGGTCTTGAGATTACCAAATACAGTGTCCATATATCCATATGTACTCTATATACCCTCTGGTTATTTAACATAGCCATGGAAAATGGCCCATTTTTAATAGGTAAACCCAGGTAAACCATCTATAAATGGGCCATTTTCCATGGCTATGTTAAATAACCAGAGGGTATGTATATATATATTTAGATCTGATGTCCGTGGGGTCGAGGTTCGTTGAGGTCAATCCTCCTGATGAAGGGCAAAAGTCAGTAAGTCCCCCAAGCGGTTTGTCCCATCTACAAATGGGTTATTACTATGATGAGACATTAACCATTTATTAAGTGTGGTTATACTCCAAGTAGCCCTAAACAAACAAAATAAAAACAAAATATGGCCAAACACCAGCTGTGCAGCTGTGAAAGAAGAGCAAGAGAAAGCGACTGTAAGGATATTTCAGCAGCAGACATGGCACACAATCCACTCCCAGCAGGGGCGCGTCACCATCCAAGGAGCTCTTCTTGGGAATCCAGATCAATTCGCCTTTGAAGCTGTCCACGGTATAGGTCGCTTCGGGTGCGGGGTACAAGATCCGGGTCAACAAGCCACGTTCCAACATCCAGCTGGGTGAACCTGCCAGCCTCCCATTCCATCAAGTCATGGTCTCAGGGTGATCCAGGGAAGAAAGCAAAGGAAGAAAATCATCTGAATCTTCTATGGGAGTTCAAGGCTTAAGTGTCTCAAGTTCAATGCTTGAGTCTTTTTCGTGTGATTCTGGAGTCTGAGGGCTCCTGGAAACAACTCTTCCTCAGTCCTTGAAACTCACCTTCAACAACCGACAATGAGATGATCCAATTGACCCAATGCTAGTTGAATAGCCATGATTCACAGTACTTACTTCCAGTTCCCATTTGCCATGCTTCGCGATCTACGTTCACTTTGCCTGGAGCCAGGATCGGAGCGCATTCAAAAAACAACTGCAAACTGGGTGCCACAAGAGTCCCAAGAAGCTTTGCACCCCAAATAGGGTATATTCCCAATTATAGCCATTTAATAGGGATAATGATCAGCAAAACCATTGGGTTTAGGGGTACACAACATTTTCAGACACACCCAGTTGGAGATGGAAAAGATCACTGGTCTTCGATGTTCCTTCCCCGACCGGACCTGGAGAGCGACCAACATCTCTGCCTCGGAGGCCAGGGATGAAGATGATAGTAACACTGATCGTAATACTACTGTGAATGCTAGTTTAATGGCAATAGTAATCTATATTATACATACATATATATATACAAATAGTATCAAATGTCAATCAGAGCATTCGTGATGATGATGATGATGATGATGATGCTGATGCTGATGCTGATGATGATGTTGATGCTGATGCTGATGATGATGATGATGATGATGATGACGATGACCATGACCATGACCATGACCATGACCATGACGATGGTGATGATGATGATGATGATGCTGATGATGATGATGATGATGATGATGATGATGATGATGATGACGATGACCATGACCATGACCATGACCATGACCATGACGATGGTGATGATGATGATGAGGATGATGATGATGATGATGATGATGACGATGACCATGACCATGACCATGACCATGACCATGACCATGACCATGGTGATGATGATGATGATGATGATGAATCATAAAATCTCCATCAGTGACGTGCGGGATGCGTAGCAGGAACGATCTGGATGACAACCAGCAAGGATTGGGATAGTCCATTCATATTCCACTTCTATCTCCATGGTATCCCTAGTTAAATCACAAAGATGGGCGTATTGACACATGATTCAATAGAGATCTTGAGCAACAGTATGTTGTCATACCACCATCATGGGATCTACTTGCACTACAATAACTTTGAACATGGCTGTGGTTCAAAATCTATGTTGGAAGGATTGTTAACATATGTATATATATATACATTTATATATATATACATTTTTATATATAATATAATATATATATATACATTTGTATATATATATATTATTATGCATTGGTTTCAGAGAAAATGGCGGGTTCCCCTAAACCCAACAGTTCATCACTACTTCTCTCTTACTTCATGACCATTTGTGTGGGCGCCACAAACCCCGGACCACCCTGAAACCGATGCAAGCGACCGCCTCATGGTCGGGGATGGTCCAAAAACCACCCATGAAGGATGCGAAATTGGGAACGGTTGGTGAAATTTGTGAATGGGTAAGCTACGGTAAACACCACATACCGAAGCTGGAAAATGTATGAAAATGTGACAAACCCTGTTCCGAAGTAGATGTTCTGTCCAGTTTGGGGCAGTTTTGTCTGGAACCACACAAGTTTTGGGAGTTTTTACAAGCTATGCCAGCTTTTCCATGACTGATGACATGGCATCAAATTGGATGCCATGAACTGCTGGGTGTTTCAGGCGGTCTTCAACTGAGAAGCCAAATGGCTCTGACAAGCAACTCCTCGAAGCAAAACCCAAAGGAGAGCCACAGAGATTTGATTTGGCGATGGTGTTTCACTTCTGTGTCACGAACCTGATGTCACAGGGTTTGTTCAAACAGTTCAAACACTGCATGTCCCATCTTCCATCATCTTCCCATGAGACCAATGCTTTTGAAGGTAAGTGAGCGCCATGGCGCTTGAACGCCGTCTTTTTTCACACATCTTTGACAACGAAGTGAAAGGCGGTAAAATCCCAAGCTGACAAACAAAAATACAGCAGTGTAAAGCCAACAATATTTATCTTAAATGGTTGCTTGGACAATGCGACGCATGTACTTGGTATAGTCACTTTCAACAAGAAGTCCCAGTCCAGTCTCAGCATAGAACATCAGCATCACAAATTTCATGTTCTGCTGGAAACCGCATCACAGTGTATACTGTGTATACTAGAACAGGTAGGCTTGATCAGCTGGGGATCGACGCAAACTCTGCAGACCAAAAAGGCGATCTGCAATCTTCGCGGGAAATACATGGAGATTTTCCAACAGAGCTCTTTAAAAAAATGGATAAAAATGGTGTCCAACTTCTAAGGTCCCCTTGTTCTGGAGGAAAATTACGAAAACACCCAGCAGTTTTGGAAGAACTCCATGTGGAAATCCTGACCTGCGACTTCATCGCAGTCGGTAAAAAATCGGTCCGCGACAGTCAGGCTGGTGGGTTTTTATTTCTGGTTGCCCAGCTTTACAATGGAAATCAGAGTGGAAATCAGATATAAATGGATGGTAATTCTGGTAATTTCAGGCCAATCTGGAAATCTGGGCCTTTATATCTTTGGAAAATGTCTCGAGGTTTGGAAAAAAACACTGTTTTTGCACCCAAGGCCCCGGCAAGTTCTATGCATTCCTAGACAGTTGTGTGCATGTACCTTTGCCAAAATCATTCTAAATCTATCTACATACAATGGAGGTGTCCTAAAATAGGGGTACCCCCAAATCATCCATTTTAATGCTATTTTCCATTATAAACCATCCATTCGGGGTACTCCCTTTTTATAGAAACCCCCACATCTAAGTGATGTAACAAAAACGCGATGTCTCCAGAGCCTGCACAGGTGTCATCAAACGTGGCTAAATCCATGGAAATCCGCTGATTACTAATAGATATTGGTTTCTAGCTGGGAAAGTCATCGATAAATCGTGCATTTTTTTCATTTTTTCATTTCAAAAATCATGAATCAGCTCGTTATGGCAACTCCACCCACTTGCCTTTCTGTGCGTTTCTCAGGGTTTTTTTTGTGAGCAGCGACACAGCGGCGCCTAGGTGCCTACCAGATATGTCTTGGGTCTTGGTCAAACCCTGCCTGGTTTCGGACAGTGTTCACCAGATCTCATCAGGACATGTCTCCCATACCCTCTGGTCTTGGTACCAAAAAAAAACTGTGGTGGGCAATCGAAAATCCCTCCCTATCTAGTCGTAGATGATTTTTTCCATGGGAAAATCAGGATTTCCTGCCAAAACTTTCGATATCAACAAAGTCCTCCAAATGCTGGAAAAAACGGAACCCGCAAACATCCATTTTTGGTCAGTGAAATCAGTGTGAAATCTCCAATCCTTGTTGATTTCTGAGGGTATCCCCTTGATTTCTGCGACTCATGGCACCAAGGCACAGCGGCGCCGTTTTTACGCCAATTCCTTCGACTCGGGCCCCAGAGTTGGGCCAGGCAGCAAAATCTCAGGATTCTTGGAATGCTCATTGTTCAAAATGATTGATGGTGGATGATGATTGATGATGTTTGATGCATTTAATTAGCCAAGATTCCAATCTGATAGTTGGCTTTGTTGGTCAAAAATCACACTTTTGTTCTACGAAGTGCCACCAGACCTGTTTGTTGGCCATGGTGAATGTGTGTGAATGTCTTCATTTCGAATGTGGCTCAAAACTCTCGGCCCCCGAATTCAGAGGGTTTCATGGCCAGCCGTGATCAGCCATATATGGATTGGATCTTAATTGAGGGAATTTCATGGTCTGCTGGGGTTGGTTTTTCAGTTCAGTTTCATATCTCCATCTGTTGATTCAAACTGCCCATCCCAAGAAAACTCATCCACGGCTCAGCCGGGACCGGGGCCGATGTCAGCGAATTTCGGCTCCTGGCCGATGCAGCTTCGGACAGGATGGGGATGGGGATGGTTCGTTGCTTGGTCGGAGTGGGGTGGCTGCAACTGGCGAAAAATCATCCTAAAACAAGTCAAAACCCATGATGATCCCAATTATCCCCACGATTCAAGAGTGATTCCCATCTGGTGATGAAGCAAAGCCTACAGGCCTACACCATATATTTGCGAATTATTGAACATCCATTGAATCCATAAACGCTATCTTGCTGTGATAATAACCCAGGGTACCTGATTTTTGACTGACCGCCACCTTGAAACCCATGGCATCCCATGGCATTTAGTGCAGGGATGTCCCTGTCCCAGGCATGTACTGCCGGGTAATCCATTGTCATCCCCTTCTGAAGCCTCCCTTACCCTCTGGTAATTTAACATAACTATGGAAAATCACCATTTTTAATGGGTAAATCCACTATAAATGGCCATTTTCAATAGCTATGTTAAATTACCAGAGGGTAATTCCCATTTCATCACGATGATGTTATGAATCCCAATCACCAAAAACATTCCGTGGTGACCACTGGTGAACTCCCATGATTTGCTGGTGAACTCTTCATTGGTGAGTATCAAAGCTATTGACCTCCATGTAATTCAAGTGTTGGGTAATGTATACTAAATCCCTGATGTTTCCTCTAGTTGAGTCACCATTTCTGTTGGTTAAGTTCCAATTTGTCATGGCTAACTCCTCAATTTTGCCAACCTGCTCTTGGTGGTTAGATCAACATTTTAGTGGCAAAATCCCCATTTTTGTCGGTGAAATTGCCATTTCCTTCACTGATGTTCCGCCAAAAACCGGCCTCAGCCGTCACTGCAGCAGGGTCGCCGTGGAGTTTGTTGGGCTGCCCCGGCTGGCGCCCTCCACATTGCCTGGGGTTTCAGCCGGTTTCAGCGTTTTTTCTCATGGGGAAAATATGGAGACCTGAGTTTACCCATCATCCCCCCATATCATCAGGGGTTTCACCCAAATCATGAGCGTCT